GTCAGTGACATAAAGAGGGCTTTACTACAACCAAATAGTTGTAAAACATATATATATATGTAATCTGATCACATGAAAGAAAACTCACAACAAATTCAAACTTCATTATAAAGGTCACTGTTATTCAAACTTTCCACCCTTTAAAAGATCAGTTCAAATATATCAACATCCTAAACTTTCTACTAACGAAGCGTGGATGTAAACTTCTGTAGGCTTACTGATACTCCTGTTACTTTTATGACATGTTCTACTTGTCAACATGAACCTGAGACCAGCAGAGGTTCAAGCCTTATGGTGCTTTTTGATGGTTTTGTCTTTTGGTTAGTAAGATGAAGTCTTAGGAGAGCTCAGGAGGGCAGATATGAGAGATTTTAAATGTTTCAGGGCTGCCAGAGCTCCTGTTAATGGCACACTTGGCACAGCTTTAGCTTCCTGCTCCCATTGAGCAGCCGTATGGCCACAGTTTTTGCATCATCAGCTCCAGTCGTCACTTGGACTCACCCAGCAGGTGTTCATTGTTGTTTAGGAGGGATCTTTGTTGAGATAGCAACTATTTCCAGTTTGAAATGAATATTTTAGGAGAATTATTTGTTGCTTGAATAAATCAGGCTCTGATGTGATGAAAATGTTGATGTAGCCATCGCTGTAAATGTCAGTGGTTTCTGTCAGTCTGAGTTAATTCGTCAGATAGTTTGTGTATTCTCAAATCTGCTTGACATCAAGTTGATTAGAGATTGGTGGTTTAGATTCAAGGATTCAAGGTTCTTTAGTTGTTGCACCACATGTGGTACATGTGTTGGAACGAAATTGTGTACACAGGGTCCCAGTTACATCCAACAAAAATATAAAATGTAAAAGAAAAAAACAGTAATAAGATCTAAGATATGAACTAAGAAAAATGTTAAACTAAAAATACACTAAGTACTAGTAGCATAAAAACAATATGCCAAACAGCAGCACGAACATGAGTCTGTGTGAGCAGACAAGTACGAATGAACACAGCAGCATGAAACAGATCAGCAGCAACATGAAACAGATCAGCAGCAACATGAAACAGATCAGCAGCAACATGATGTGATTTTTCACAGTGATTATTTTGGTTGGAGATGCATGAGTCTAACAGCTTCAGGGTAGAAGCTGTTCCTCAGTCTAGGGGTTCTACACTTAATGCTATTCAACCTCCTTCCTGAGGGGAGCAGGGCAAAATGTGTGTGTGCTGGGTGAGTGAGGTCCTTCATGATGCAGGTGGCTCTCTTCCTGCACCTGGAGGTGTAGATGTCTGTGATGGATATAGATAGATGCATCCCTGTCATGTTTACTTGTCAGTGACATAAAGAGGGCTTTACTACAACCAAATAGTTGTAAAACTAAAAAAAGCATACAATAACAGGAAAAAGACAATACATTTTTTTTTCCTCATTTTTATCTTGTTTAGTGCAGCAAAAGGCTGAAAATAGGACATAAATCCCCCATAAATCTCTACTGTGTCTCAAGTTGTTGGACTGTTCTTTTATCTTTATAATCAGAATAAAAAGTCAGCCTTCAGTTTGTCTGTCTTTGCTGTCTTGGTGTACTTTGTGTTTCTAAAAGCTGAACTAAGCCTGAGAAGCAGCTGCAGGTTCTGTCTCGTGTTCAGAGTTTCAGACCCTGCAGCTGTGTGAAAAGTCCCTTTTTTCAATCTGAGATTTATCTCACCACATATTTTAACACATTAACAATTCAGAGGATAATTTTGTTCAGCTCATAACGAAGCATCATGAATATGCTTACTATGTTGAAGCACAGTTAATTTCATGTTTGAGGTGTTCTGCAAACAAAAAGACAATAGGCGATGTATTTTTAGCTCAGCTGTCGCCCAAACAAAAGGACAGGTCGAACCAAAGTGCAGATTTTTTACTTTTATTTTCTCTCTTTCTTCCAGATTTCTCTCTGTCAAGTCTTTGAAACCTCAGATCAAGAAAAACAAATAAGAGCACTCGTATCTGAAAAGACAACGTGTCAGATCGATCTGTTCAACGTCAGTTTGCTCTTTCCGCTGAAGCCCACCCCCAGCCCAGACGTGAGTCCACCATGTCCGGGAAGGAGCGCAGCCCCCGCCATCGACCGTGGTCGGTGTACCGGGCCAACACCTTTGATCTCTCTGCTGAGATGATGGGGCTCGCTCTTTCAGGTAACTACAGTAACCGTCTCCATGGAGACATGTTGGCGCCATGCAGGATGATGTCATTACAGACATTTATTTTGTCTTTTACAGGAAACAGTCAAGATCCAGATGAGCCGGTGCTGGAGTTTAGCGTGGGTAAGTTGAGGAATTTCATAAATATCTTGTTGCATATTACAGATGGGTTGGATAATTTTCTAGTCTTACAAACTGTTGAATATGAACACAGATTTGATACTTAACTAAAATGTATCAAATTTATTGAAGTTTTTTTTAATAAATATAACTAAACAGAGAGTAAGCCATACGCTCCAGCAAATTATTTTTAAAAACACACACTGCCTCCTTAGATTTGTAGTTACATATTTTATTCAGAGCAGCTTGGAGGACAGACAGGGAGCCATGCAGGCAATCCCCAACAGAACTGTTTGGACCAACAAACCAGTAACATTCCAGATGATGGATGACCACTCTTTTGTTCTTTACAAGAAGGTTTTAGGAACACGCCTGCAAATCTGACTGAAACATACTTTTCTCTGAAGGACTTGTTTTTGTCATGACAACATAATTCCTAATTTTATCCAAAAAGTTTTGGTTCCTTAATACAAACTGACATGTGGGGCTTGCAAAAAATTATTTTTGATGTTAAAAGGCCTAAATGAGAATAGCAGCTGTTCTGTTTTTAAAAAGTAACCCCCCCCCCCCTCCTTTTTTAAGGACATAATTTTACATATGATTTAAACCATTTATGCTTCATGATCTGGCACCAGTTACCAATAAACAGGTTATAAATAACAACTAAAAATGTGTTTATTAAGCCAAAAAAGTGTGAAATAATGTTCACAATGTTGTAGCTGGTGGTGTGACTGATCCCATTTTAATTCAGTTTAATTTTTTATTAAGCACAAAGTCACAAGACCCATCTCAGGAGATGGGACAGAATGGCAAACAGGTCCAAGTCATATCAAATTACATAAAATACCCCACTCACCCAGCACACACTTTTTGCCCCGCTCCCCTCAGGCAGCAGGTTGAGGATCATTAAGTGTAGAACCACTAGACTGAGGAACAGCTTCTACCCTGAGGCTGTTAGTTCTATTTCGTATAGGCTTCGCCCTTTAAGAGCTGTCGCTTAGTGGGTTTTATCCCATCATGCAAAGCATTACATTGAAAAGTTTAGGCCACGCCCACCTGCTGAGTGGGCCCCACCCGGTCCGTATAAATTACGTTAAGAACGGGTAATCGGCTCCCAATTTTCTTCAGCAAGCTAATAGCACTGACCTTCAACAAGATGTCCAGCACCAACACCATCCGCCTGTTCAGCGTATTGTTTTGCATTATTAGTGTTTAGCGTATTTCTTCGTCTATATCTTAGATCCTTATTACTGTTTCTTTTTACAGTTTATATTTTGCTATTGTTGGATGTAACTGGGACCCTGTGTGCATAATTTCATTCCACCTCATGTACCACATGCGATGCGAATGATAATAAAACCAACTTGAACTTGAACTTGGAAATGCAATCCAGACAAAACAAGTGAGAAAGAGTATAAGAGTAGTAATGCACAAGAAAAACAAGTCAACATGAAAATTAAATAAATTCAATGAAACCCCAACTTTGGTAGTATTTGGTTTGGATTTTGACAGTTTGATTTGTAAAGGCTGGTGATGAAATGGACCCAAGACAACTAAAGTGAAACTAGTAACTCCAACAAAAAAACTAACTAAAAGTTGACAGCTCTAACCACTTCACTACCGTGCCGCCGCAACCAAGAATAACAAATATTAAAAATAAACATCCCAAACAATGATGAAAAGATGAATGCAACAGGAAATCAAAACACAAAATCCTCACAACAAACAACAAACTTTGAAGCAATTTATGAAAAACGTGTTTTATCCACTGTCCAGTTTAAAAGAAAAATAAATATATAATATAATATATAATTTATATAATATATGTTAAGAACATTTACCACAGAGGGAACAAAATACTTTTTGTACCCTTTTTGCTTTGCTAAATCAACCACCAGTCTTCTACCAGATGGTACCAACCTGAATAATGGTTGCAGTGGATGAGTTGGGTCAGTGTAAACCTGTATTGCCTTTTTTTCCGGAACCTGACTGTACAGGTCTGGAAGTTTCATTTATCGATGACCAATGACTTTACTACCTGTTTGACCACCTGGGACAGCTTGTTCCTGTCTCTGGCTAGGAGGTTCCCATACCATGAGACAATATTAAATGAAACAACACATTCAACCAGTGACCTGTACACCAACTGCAAAGTAATTTTGCTTGCATTAACATGTCAAAAATACTATAAAACAGCCCTTTCATCTCCAGGGATTAAATGCATTGCGAGCAATAAATCCCACGGCTGTAATCTGTTGTTTGTGTGTTGCTGCAGCCTGCAGTGAGCTGGTTACCCCCTCACTGGACCGCAAACCAACCAGCTTTGTGGCCGTCAGCTGCACCACGCCACCTCAGGCCTTCTGGACCAAACATGCTCAAACTGAGATCATAGAGGTAGAAAACCATGAGTTCCCTATGACTCCTGTCTGAGACTTCTCTAACCCTTTTCTCCTGCCTGCCTTCTGTCTGTCTGTCCTCAGGGCACCAGTAATCCCATCTTCCTGAGCAGTATAGCTTTCTTTCAGGACTCTCTTATCACCCAGCAGACCCAGGTTAAACTCTCAGTCTACGATGTAAAGGACCGCTCACAGGGAACGGTAACGTAGCGTAACTTTACTCAAATGTACAGTGCATTCAGAAAATCCTTAATAATCCATTTTTTAATCCTTATGCGTCAGATGTACATGCTGGGTTCGTCCATGTTTTCTGTGAAAGAGCTGCTGCAGGACAAACACCACAGACTGCACTTGACTCTCAGGTGTCCGAGCAGAAACACACACGTTGCGATCACACAGCATGATGCCACACACACACGCGTGTTCAGGGTTCTGACTCGATGTCGCTGTGAGGCAGGTCAGCAGAGAGCGAGCGTGTGGGCAACATCACCGTCATCGCCTGGCAGATAGAGGAGAAGCGTGAGCAGCGGGCGCCGGTGGCAAGGCTACAGAGGGGGGACACTGTGAATGGAAGGGTGAGGAATGAAAATCTTTGTGACGTTGAAGCGTTTTAATTTAGACTATTAGAACGTAAATGATTGATTTGTGCTGATCACCTGAGTCATCCATCCATCCATTATCTTCCGCTTATTCCGAAGTCGGGTCGCGGGGGCAGTAGCTTGAGCAGGGAGGCCTAGACATCTCTTTCCACAGCCACCTCTTCCAGCTTTTCTGGGAGGATTCCAAGGTGTTCTCAGGCCAACCGAGAGACATAGTCTCTCCAGCGTGTCCAGGGTCTTCCCCAGGGTCTCCTCCCAGTTGGACATGCCAAAAGCACCTCTCTAGGGAGGTGCCCAGGGGGCATCCTTAACAGATGCCCGAACCACCTCAACTGGCTCCTCTCGACGTGGAGGAGTAGCGGTTCTACTCAGAGTCTCTCTCGGATAACTGAACTTCTCACCATATCTGTAAAGGAAGAGTCCAGCTACCTTGCGGAGAAAACTCATTTCAACCGCCTGTATCCATGATCTCATTCTTTCGGTCACTACCCAGAGCTCATGACCATAGGTGAGGGTAGGAACGTAAACCGACGGGTAAACAGAGAGCTTTGCCTTACAGCTCAGCTCTCTCTTCACCACAACGGACCAGTACAGAGTCCGCAATACTGCAGATGCTGCACCAATCCATTTGTTAGCTTTAGTAACTTTCTTCTTTTTTTTTTAACTGATGGATAAAACAAGCATCCATCCATCCATTATCTTTTACCCTCTTCTTCCATTTTGGGTCACGGGGGTCACTGGTGCCCATGTCCAGCAATCACTATGCGAGGGGCGGGGTACACCCTGGACGGGTCGCAAGTCCATCACAGGGACACATAGAGACAAACGAGACAAACAACCATTCACTCTCTCACTCACACCTAGAGACAATTTAGAGTTACCAATCAGTCTAACATGCATGTTTTTGGTTTGTGGGAGGAAACCAGAGCACCCGGAGAAAACCCATGCACGCACGGAGAGAACATGCAAACTCCACCCAGAAAGGCCCCTGGACCGGGGTTTGAACCAGGGACCTGCTCACTGGGAGGCAACAGCTCTACCAGTTGCGCCACCGTGCTGCTGATAAAACAAGCAATTTAATATAAAAATAGATAATACAGTAATGACTATATTTTATTTTCTGTTCAGTTTATTATGAAAAGTCAAGACCCACAAATGGTTTTTACTTTGGCTAAATTTGGCATTTGTTGCAACTCAATAAACTGTGCAGTTTTCATTATTATTATTATTAGACCTTTATTTATACAGGTTAGTTCCCATTGAGCTTCGAAGACTCATTTACAAGAGAGACCTATTACATACAAACATACAGGAAGATGAGAAAAAGAGAGCACGAGGGTGAAAGAAGCTAAAAAAATCTTCTAGTTTACGTGTCCTCCAGGAGCAATTTGAGATGAACTGAGCGATTACAATAGGCCTTCGCAGCGCTTCGCTGCTCGGGCCTAATAAGTTGGCCTGTCCAAGGCCAGCGGGGAGGCCAAATTCAAATAAACAATTGTTTGGGCCTCCAAACTCTGTTTTCTGTCTGTCTTCAAGTTCTGCTGGTGCATTCAATGGTGAATCCAAACAGCCAGAATTAGTGGACATTCCTCCTGGTCCATGCTCGATTTAGCATTCTTCAAGATTGAATCCTTCATGCTGGTGAGTTCCAGAAGCCGCAAGTGGTCTACGATTCTCTGAAATCACGTCCAGCTTGCGGTTGAGCTCGGTAAGCATATGAGTTTGAGAGCTCGAGGCACGGATTAGTCCTTCACATAAGGCTGGCAGCTTTACCATGGCTGAAACTGCTGCCGACGTCTCTTTGCTTTGTCGATAACCAAGGTATCCGTCGATTCCAAAAAGCAGAAACCCTGTTATCATAAATCCAATAATGTACACATCTTCTACATCCTCCACAGAAAAAACAGCTAAGCACATCATTTTCCACTCATTCCAGGAATCCATGACATACCCAGCTGCAAGGGTCTGTTCAGGGCATGAGGCATAGGCGTCGCAACCATTATATGTGAAGGGGACATGTACCCCACACATTCAAAAAATGTTCATTTGTACCCCACACACACACACACACACACACATACACACACACACTTTTATTATGAAACATTAGTTCAGTCAGTCAGCGCAGTTTCTCTTTCTTTGTAAACAAATCCATTTCACTTGATTAATAGGAGAATACTCAGGCCACTAAAACGCCACGCCAGGTTTTCCTGGTTACTTCCAACTCTAAACACAGCAGCCTGCTGTCTGCAGTGTTTCTGTGCGTCTCCTCCTGCCTCAATAAAAACGTGCACAGGTGGAGGAGATGGAGACACCTCTGTGTTGCTCGCGCGCCATTTTACCTAGCTTAGTGCGGGCAGTTGTTGACCAGGGGGGTTGATCATAAACATATATTCATGTTAGGAGGATGCTTGAGAGGAGCTACGTAGCATCTTAGCTTAGCAGTAACTGTGCATTAAAGTTAAAATGTCTTTAAAACCCACAGCTGAATTTACACAAACTTGGTGAGAAACATGCTTTAAATGTGTGGAATTAAAGGAAATCTAGGTGAAATGTTGCTTTTTTGTACACTATGCTTTTTATGTGCACGCGCACATGCACACGTGCACACACACACACACCTACACACATCAGTGTGTGCCCCCCCCCCCCACACACACACACATTACAGATGTTTCTGACGCCCTTGGCATGAGGGCTCTCCAGCACCATGTTGTCTGGTGGGAAAAAAAATTGTATCGCTTGCATTGAGGGACCAGCTGACCAAATCCATAATAATTTCTGATTCAGAAGATGTGTAAAGAGAAGCTCTGAGGTTGACAGGACAAGAGAGCAAAAAAGCAGGAGGGAGGGAAGGAGGGTAAGAGCAACCGTCTTCGTCGAAGGTGAAAGAGAGAAAATGGATAATGAGGATTCATAGAAAAAGTAAGTTACATTTTTGTTTCCTTGTTTTTATTTTTACATTAGATGGTTCTTCCGGTTGACGAAAGCTTAACTGGATCTGCGAGCATTAAATCCAAGTCTTCATCTTTATGTAAAGACCCAATGCTGAAGGCAGGTGAGTGTCTCCATGTTACACCAACCAGCTGTTGTTGTGACCATGAATTTAATTTTACGTGGTCCTCGCTTGTGTCGTTGTTATTTGTCATTATTTATTTGTCTCTGTTTCAGTGTTTGGAGGTGTCATGTCTCGGACGTATCGTTTCCCCACCACAGATGGAAACCACCTGCGCGTCCTGGAGCAAATGGCAGAAAGTGTCCTCTCTCTGCACATTCCTCGACAGTTTGTGAAGCTGCTGCTGGAGGAGGATGCTGTCAGGTATCAATGAAATATTCTGCTTGTTTAAGACCTGCACTGTTTGTGTTTTCTTAAACTGCTTTTTCTTTGTTTTTGTTTGTAAATCGATGTTGCACAGTTTATATTAGACCTTTCCTCATTTCAGTATATACCTCCGTGGAGATGACTGCATCTAAGATCCAGTTACTTTATATTGGTTTCCAAGCATCTGTCCAGAGGCAGGTTGCCAGTCTATCAGAGCTGCACAGAGGTCATCCACTCGCACTTAGAGCTCATTTTGTGAAGACACTCTAACATGCATGATTTTAGACAGTGGAGGAAACTGGGGCCACCAGGAGACATCCAGCACATACATGGGGAGAAAATGCAACCTCCACACAGAAAGACCCCAGTCAGGAGTCAAACCCAGAACCTTCTTGCTGCGAAGCAACTGCCGAACCATGCAGCTGTCAAATTTTTTTTATACTATTGGGCAGCACGGTGGCGCAACTGGTAGAGCTGCTGCCTCTCAGCGAGCAGGTCCTTGGTTCAAACCCCAGTCCAGGGGCCTTTCTGGGTGGAGTTTGCATGTTCTCTCCGTGCATGCGTGGGTTTTCTCCGGGTACTCCTGTTTCCTCCCACAAACCAAAAACATGCATGTTAGGCTGATTGGTAACTCTAAATTGTCCCTAGGTGTGAATGAGAGAGTGAATGGTTGTTTGTCTCGTTTGTCTCTATGTGTCCCTGTGATGGACTTGCGACCCGTCCAGGGTGTACCCCGCCCCTCGCACAGTGATTGCTGGACATGGGCACCAGCGACCCCCGTGACCCAAAATGGAATAAGCGGGTAAAGATAATGGATGGATGGATGGATGGATATTATCTATTTATGTCTGCTGGTTTTGTTTCTGGTGCCAGTCATGGCAAAAAGAAATGCTATTGGCGATTATTATTAAGTCCCCCCTTTGGGATTTCAAGATTTACAAGAGCAATAACAAATGAGGATCCAGTTGTTTAGATTCCACAACAAACTCTTGTCATAAGTGGCCAAATCAGTCTGCTAGAGATTGTACAAATTCATTCATTCAACTTTTATTTAGACAGATAAATCACATTGAGCCTCGAAGACTCATTTACAAGTGAGGCCTGTTCAGACGAACAAAAAGTAATGAAAGTGACATGTGTAGGATTTGGAGGCAAAAAAAAAAAAAAAAATCCTATCGAACTTTCTCCTTGACCGAGGAGAAAGAACCTGATATTGAAAAAAACACCCTGCACATAGGCACATAGTGACGCAGACATTCTGCAGGGGAGGGTAGACGACAAGAGCGGTGATCGTGTCAAGGACACTCCAGAGGCAATGTTAGAGTTCTGATAAGAATGGTACAATCAGTTAATTCCCTCTGGTGAGATCCGTAAACACTCGAGGTCGACCTGGAACAGCGCCAGAGAGAATGAGAGAGTCCTGAAATGATGTTTATTCAGTCGGGTCCCTCTGATAGGTCCGCAGACTTCCTCAATGGGAGGGGAAGGGAGGAGCACAACAGTAAATAACAGTTCATTCATATAATTATTATTTGTACTGGTAATTTTGATCTACTCTTTCATTCATTTAGAAAAATACAATTTTTACAAGTTCACCTTTGTTTCCTAAAAGTTTATCTCTGTCATGATATTAGAGTATTGTTAAAGAAACATCACTTCATCAGTGAAAGGTTGGTAATGTGAGACGCTCCAGTGGTTTATCTGTAACTTAGCCAGCTGCAGAAAAACACTCATGAGGTGATCAGAGCATCAGCTGGAAGTCCTGATTGTTTCACTGTGTATGTGTGTTTGATGTACAGGGTGTGTGAGCTGGAGGAACTGGGGGAGCTCTCTCCGTGTTGGGAGAACCTCAGGAGGCAGATCATCACTCAGTATCAGACCATCATCCTCACATACCAGGAGACCATAAGTGACCTGCACGAATACAAAGGTTCCAAACACAAACGCATCACTGCAAACAGGCTCTTCGCTATAGTACCATGGAGAAATCAGCTTTTTATGGGAACGAGTTACTCAAACTACGGATGAATTAAAAGGGCTAGCTTATTTGAAGTCAATCCATTGCCACAGATAATTGACTTTAGCCAACACAAAAGTGGCTAAAACTAAGTCAAGTTACAGACACTGAGCTAAAATTTGATGTGGTAGAAGTTGAAATATTCTGATATCGCTTAAGTTGCAAAGATTATTATTGTCAAGACTTGACCAACTTTGCTTCAGCTCCATAATTTTTCCATATAACATGAGCTTAATCTGAACCTCTGGCGTGAAAATTAGCAGGTGACAGGCACTTCTTCAAAAAATGCTTCATCTTAAATTCTCTCAGGACCTTCATTTAAGTCCAGCACCTTGAAAGCTGAGAGGAAGCTGGAGTTCATCCCCACCAACCTGCACATCCAGAGGATGAGAGTACAAGGACAAACTGGTTATGGTCAGTATTTGTGTGCACAAACATATTCTTTTTCTGTGCAACCAGTGTCCTCCCTGATGACTTTGTTTTTATTGTCCCATCAGACTGGACATATGATGTTGTGACCATCGGAGCTCCTGCTGCACATCATCAAGGCTTCAAAGGCTGCGGCCTCCGAAAACTGCTGCACAAACTGGAAGAAGCCAGGAAACAGTGAGTGGATAAAAACAAATAAGGCTTTATATTACAAGTTTTAATGTAGTTTACAAAATAAATTTTTTTTTCCTCATCTTCTTTCCCTTATAAAACTTCAGAACTTATGAGGAGGAGAGGTAATTCAAGGCGAAGTGATTTAAAAGGAGTTTCTGTAAAGTTTTGACCACACTACTCGTTAAATTTACTTTCCTTCTGTATTTTTAATGTTGAAGCTCTGCTGGATTCACTCCTAAAGGAATGACCTACCAGCCTCAAGATGTCATTAAAGCTAAGGAGCTGATTGCTCAAATCAACACTCTGAAAACACAAGTGTGCTACTACGCTGAGCGCCTGTCCCGAGCTGCCAAGGAGCGCTCCGCCAACTCTCTGGAGAGGACTCTGGCCATCCTAACAGAGAAGGTAAACCAGTGCTCTGAGCAACCAGAGTAATGAGGAGGAACACTGAATGTACTAAACTAAACACATTATATGTTCCTACAACTCCCAACCAGAAGAAATAGCAATTTACCAGTTTACCATTATGTTTCTATATCACCAGTAAAGTTTAATGTGTGCTGAAGTTTCGTAAGAAATGATAACTATATTGTGACTTCATTTTTCTTTATGCCTCAACAAAATAAAATTCCCCTTGTTCTCACACATTAATTAACATGTTAAACTGAACTTCAATGCAAAACAACAAATGATTAGGGTAAAAGTCTCAGATGCCTTGAGAGTAGGGATGCACGCTATTGGATTTTTGGCTGGTATCCGATATGTTAAAACTTATTTAGCTGATAACCGATACCAATATTTTTAACATACTTTCCTTTGTCAGAACATAGCTCTCTTATTTAGACATATTTGCTACAAAAATTGTGTAACAGCTGCAAGAGCTGGTGACATATATTCAGTAACAGCCATATGATATGCATAGCACTTTAACTTACAAAGTATATTAAATGAAAAGTATTAAATATTATTTATTGACATTAGTCACCTGTGATGCTGTCTCACTTGTGGAGGCTTGTTCCAGGTTCCTAGCTGCAGTGTGGATCCTCTGCACTCTTGTGCATGAAGGACAGACTTTTTAAGTTCAAAGTTTTTGTCTATCCATTGTGCAGTAAGACTAATCATGCTAACGGGGCTAACACAACGTCCAGATGTCTGTGGTAAAACTCACCCAAGTGCTATCAGCTATTAGCTTCTCAATGATGTCGGAAATGATGGCTTGTAACTCGGGTGAGGCTACGTCAGAAAAATATCTCCAACTGGGGCGGATGTAGTGAGGCTCAGTGTAGTCCAAAAATCTTTGGAGTCCAATATCTTCAATGAAAAGAAAAACTTCCACACCACCAATATTTTGATTTCTTCCTCTCTGCAATGATCAGATCAGGTAGGCGCACGTGACGTCATCACATTGTGCTGGCGCTGCAGGCATCCTTGTCACTGGGTTGTCATACAAAAACGTCTTTTATATCGGCGAGTTATTTTGATGGAATAGCCGATGTCCTTTAATGCTAATATCGGCCGATACTGATACCATGCCGATAATATCGTGCATCCCTACTTGAGAGTTAAGAAACAATGAAAATTAAATATCTATAGAGTAGCTGTTCCTAGAGTAAAAACATCTATCCACCAGCATTCAGTGAGCTGCCTAAACCGTGTAACAAAAGATGTCAGCTGGAGCAACAGACTTAAATGTTAGCACATTTAGAAAAATTCAGAAAACTGCATGGCGATGTGAAGATGTTGAGGTTCTCCTTGGGAGTGACAAGGATGGATAAGATTAGGAATGAGATCATCAGAGGTACAGCACAGGTTGAACAACTGGGAGATAAAGTTAGAGAGGAGGACAGAGGATAGAGTGAGATGGAGGACCCTGAAGAGGGAAAAGCTAAAAGAAGAAGATGAACTGCATGTGCTTTAGTTTTTGGTTCTGACACCAACAAAGGCCAAAGCTGCAACCTGCTTTGGGTTAAACTTTCTTTTCTTTACACGGCAGAGGGAAAACAGACTTGGACAGCTCACGACTTTAACTTTTTACAGCTACGTTTCCTGTGCCTCAGTCATGTGCTCCAGTTCTCTCCAGTTTATCATACAATCATACAGACACAGACTTGCTCCCTCACTTGTTCTTAAAGAATTGTATCAATGCATTTCAATGCAATATAACTTGTCACTCAGTTTAGATCCTGACTGGAGTTCAGAATTTGAGAAGCATCATCTTAAACCACACACAATATGCTCCATGTAGAAGTTAGAGCTTAGATCTTAATAAACTCTGTAGCAGCTGTTAAACATCTGGAGAAGATAATCATTACCAAACCACGTCTTGGACTTGTCTTGGTCTTGTCTTGGTCTTGTCTTGGCCTCAGTTAAGATGCTCTTTACCAGAATATTTTCAATTAAATAAAAAACTTCCATCAAAGCATTTAATTATTTAAAGCAGGAAGTTTGATGTCATGTTTTGTCCGATTCATGTTCCAGTATTAATTTATTCTCTTTTCCTCCATCAGAGCCGTCAGCTGGTGGCTGTGTGTGACTCCAAGCTGCTCTCCTCAGCCATCATGAACTTTGCCACCGCTCGTTCAGAGCTCTCCCAGCACAGCACCCCGTCACCATCCTCCTCCTCGCTCTCGCCCTCTTCTCGCTCCCCATCTCGCTCCCCGTCTCGCTCCCCGTCTCACTACCCTCCCACCTCCCCGTCTCGCGCTGCCATCTCACCCTCCCGACACTCCGCTCCTCTGGAGGGTAGTGAGGGGAGCAAAAGCAAGCGAGCCTCCACACAGGCTGACCTCCACGAGGAGGAGTGGGTAAGACAAAAATACCCTTTTCTAGTTTTTGTGCTCATTTTGTGTTCATCTGCTATGTATATGTGTGTTTGTGTGTGTGCACAGGAGAAGGTTTGGCTAAATGTTGATAAAAGCCTGGAGTGTGTGATCCAGAGAGTGGACCGGCTGCTGCAGCGAGACAAAATCCAAAGCGACAGCAGCTCTGAGGACGTCTTTCTACTAGCCAACGAGGAGCCGAAGAGCAACAAGAAAGGTTCAAGTGTTTGGCAGTTATTCTGTCTTGTAATGCATTAGATTATCTCTTTATTAAACAACATGTAGAGATTTATGGATACCATAGGCGTCGCAACCACTATATGTGAATGGGACATGTCCCCCCCACATTCAAAAAACGTTCATTTGGACTCCCCCACTTTTACTATGAAACATTAGTTCAGTCGGTGCAGTTTATCTTTCTTTGTGAACGAATCCATTCCATTTGATCAATAGGAGAATACTCAGGCCACTAAAACTCCACTCCAGGTTTTCCTGGTTACCTCCAACTCTAAACACAGCAGCCTGCTGCCTCCGCTGTTTCTCCTCTGAGGGTGCATTCACACCAGCCCTGTTGTCCTGAACTCTAGCCCGTTTGCCTAGGAAGTCCGGTTTGTTTGGGGAGGTGTGAACACGCCATCGAACTCTGTCACGGAACAAAAAAACTAACTCTGGCCCGCCTAAAAACCTAGGTCTCGGTCCGGTAGAAGAAAACTCTAGCGCGGTTCGAGTACAGTGTGAATGCAAGCAGACCGGGCACCACTCCGCAAGTAGGAAGAAGACTACAGTGCAGGACAAACAAACACGCATTTCTCTTACCTCATATGGAGCTGTCAGCTTGCCTTGTGTGAAAAATGACATTCTCCATGGTCTTCTGCCTCATCTTCTGCTCATGCTGAGTCCGTTGTTGAAAAAAGACAAAATAGAAATCCTAAAACTGCTAAAATTTGAAGCCACTCCATTTTTGTTTTTATTTACAGAAGAAGAAGAAGAAGAAGTGTCTTCTTCAGAGGTTTTTGTATCGTTTTTTTCAGTAGTTCTTGGTGCAGCGCCCCCACAGGTGAGTGGGGGAACAGGTTGATTCGAGCAGGTTGGCTCGACTGCACAGTGCAGTGTGAATGCAAACGCACCAGCTCAAGTGTAAACAAAATGTTATGAATATTGGTCCCCAACTGAACCGAGTCTACCGGACTATCAGGTGTGAAAACAACTTGAGTCTCCTGCCTCGGCAGAAAATACGCACAGGTGGAGGAGATGGAGGTACCTCTGTGTTGCTCGCTCGCCAGTTTAAGGCAGTTGTTGACAGGGGGGTTGATCATAAACATATATTCATGTTAGGAGGATGCTTGAGAGGAGCTACGTAGCATCTTAGCTTAGCAGTAACTGTGATTCTGTCAGACGCTGCAGGTGTAAGAGACGCTGTGTGTTCAGGTGCATTAAAGTTGAAATGTCTTTAAAACCCCACGCCTTATTGTCCTCAAGCTTCATGAGAAACATCATTTAGATGAGTAGTTTTGAACACAAGTAAAAAAAAGTCTAGTGGTGATGATTTTTATTTCTCTATAAACACAAATAGCATCGACCTGATGCTCTGTATTAAAGTGTATTAAAGTTAAAATGTCTTTAAAACCCACAGCTGAATTTACACAAACTTGGTGAGAAACATCCTTTAAATGTGTGGAATTAAAGGAAATCTAGGTGAAATGTTGCTTTTTTGTACGCTTTTTATGTGTGCGCACACGCACGCACGTACACACACCTCCACACATCAGTGTGTCCCTCCCACATTACGGATGCTTCCGACGCCCTTCATGGATACCCTCAAAATTAAAAGATGAAGACTTAGGTTCATTGTTTTTTTTAATCTTACAGAACACCTGCACGATCACAACTGAAGATTATCTGATTGTCAGCACAAATCTAATGTACAATTACTATCTTACCTGCTGTTGAAAGCTCTTTGACTGACCTCAGTTTGGAGAAAAAGTTAAATTTTTACCAGAAAGTTAAGGTAATGGCTATACCGAGCAGGACCAAGACCAAACTGGTTCTGTAGCTCATCAGTTCAGTCAGAATGAAACCGTTTCTCCAAAGTGAGATTGTTCCAAGTGCTTTCTACAGTAAGTCAGACACTAGTTGTTCATAATCTTTTCTATAGAAGCTCACTTTAAAAGTTTTATATTATTGCTTTTAGCAGAATGTTATTTTAAATGTTTTCCGTTGCCTTCTATTTGGAGGGAGGCTGACACATTAACATCTTATCAGGACTATGGTGCTATCTGGAAGTGCTTCATGGACAAATCTCACCGTCTTGTCGTGTAATTTTTTTTTTTAAATACCATTATCCTATCCTCATGGTCTTTCCCCTTTTCTATCTGAAGAATAAGGGGTTGCGCTCCTACGAGCTGCAGCCACGAGCACATCGCCCATCTTTCGAACGACTGTACGGAATATAATCTCACTGTACTTTGGTGCAGTAAAAATCAAGTTTATTCTGATTCTGATTCTATTTTTTAGAAAACAGCCCAGAGGTGGAAAAGACATCTCCAGGTAAGAGAAATGTTTATTTTAAGGAAAATGACAGTATTTTTCACTTTGCCTCCTAGTTTCTTTGATATTTGTGTGTATAATACAGATGGGGACATACATATTTTCAGTCATAGTCTATAACGCTTTATATTTTGAGTTTTGTTTTTTAACAACGTTAAAGTTACCAAATGGGACTTGTGTTATATTGACATGGACAGGTGAATGGAGCGAGGTGCTGTATCCTCTCCTCACCACTCTGACAGACTGTGTGACTCTGATGAGCGACAGAGCAAAGAAAGCGCTGGTGTTTCTGCTCATGCAGGACAGCGCCCCCACCATCGCCTTAAGCCTCACGCTGCAGTATCGCCGCGACGTCGTCTTCTGCCAGACGGTTTGTCAGCTTCTGACACCGACTCCAAAATCCACAGACACTACGGTTCTTGCCGTTTCAGACACGCTGCAGTCATAAATGGTGCCAACACTGACGTAAGCTGTGTTCTTGCAGCTGACTTCTCTGATCTGCGGCTTCGTTCTCAAGCTGAGGAACTGCCTCTGCGACTCGGGCTTCCTCCGGCAGCTGCACACCATCGGCTTGCTGGTTCACTTCGAGAGCCTGCTCAGCACATACGGTAACATGTGCGACGTTTATAATAACATACTGGTTTGGAAATGTACTTAGACAAAAAGTATCCGATACACAAAAATAAAAAATAAAGCTCCTGCTTCCATATGCCACACTTGTTCTAATAGTTTCAATTACAAGATTTTAAATCTGCAAAAGATTCATTTGCATTTAATTTAAAAGAAACATATAAATTACTTTATAAATATTCATTATATGTGTCTTTTTAGGATAAACTTGGCTAGAAATTGTACCAAACCTGTTTTCAGCAGATTATATCAATAAATTTCCTATATCAGAAAGCTAACAGTGATACGATTTTTAAAAATATGACTCACTAAGTGTTGTTTTTCTTTGTTTTATTGTTTTACCATAACTTGTTCTTTAAAGGGGAGGAGTTGGCCATGTTGGAGGATATGAGTGTAGGAGTGATGGACCTCAGAAATGTCACCTTTAAGGTCACCCAGGCAACCTCGGGTTTCAGTCCAGACCTGCTGCCGGTGATCACAGGGAACAGGAATGGCTTCAACGTCAGGGTCCCGATGCCCGGCGTGATGTTTGACACGCTGCCGAGAGAGATCCAGAACGGGATGCTGCTCCGGGTCCAGCCCGTCTTCTTCAACGTGGGGATCAATGAGCAGCAGACGTTGGCTGAGAAGTGAGTCCCTGAAAACAACCACAGGGTAGAAACACAGACAGAACACTAATCTGTACAGTTTTAATGTTTAACTTTAATATCTGCAACAACTGCTGAAGAGCTCATCTGTGTCAAATGACTTCCTACTGAAGCTTGAAAAAGAATTAGCTGAGAGGCATATGGAGGGAAAAACTGAATTATATGTTTGTTTTTTGTACAACGATCCATATTGAAATGTTTTCAACTCTGGGCATTTAAGACATTATATTTAATTTATGTTGTGTCTTTGAATGAAAATCTGCTTACAGAGGTTCATTGTAAGGCTTTAGTTATATTTTACTAATGTTGAAATTAAACAGTTCTGCTTGACTATAATACAGTAGTCCCTCGTTTATCGTGGGGGATCCGTACCCTGAAGCCCCGCGATAAGTGAAAACCGTGAAGTAGGGACAGTAGTTCAAGTTCGAGTACAGTAAACTTTATATTAGGGCTTTAGAAACCCTTCCCTCACTCTTGAAATGTTCTAAACTCTTAAACATATTTAAACAACACACGTTACTAAATTTTACTTACTAGCTCTGCAGAACAACCTCAGTTCTGGTTCTGGTCCAACTCTGTTCTATTCCAAATTATTTAATTTCTGCAGACCTATCCTGCTGCGATGAAGCCCACAGTCAGTCCTCTAAGCTCTTAAACCTACTAATTTTGGCAACATACAGTACTTGTATGTACAGGAGCTACAAAATTTTACTTACAAGGGCTCTGCAGAACAGGAGCGGCTCGGTTTCATCCGACCCGACAGATGAAAAAAGTTCTGGTGCTGCATGACTGAAGCCCACCGCTCCATCCAGCTTGATGTGCATGTTATGCTGCTCCAGGATTTCATCCACCACCTCTGGCCTGGTGCGGACTAGTGCTGCGCGACCAGAACCTGACAGAACCCTGCAGCCGTCTGTCACCTGCAGCTCCCAGGATCCGGGTCACACTGAGACCAGATCAACTGCAGCTACTCAGCAGTGAAGATACAACTTGAAGGACGAGTTCAGCTTCAGAATTATTTGATACTTTCCTGCCAATCCTGTGAGATTATTATCATTACTTCTGACTTTGGTTGCAAAACTTTACCTCCGTCTGCAGCAAGCAGCGGTTGGAAGCAGTGTTGACTTCTGGGAAGTGAACTGATGGCTTCTGGGTAATGTAGTTTTTTTAGACTGGCAAAAGAGTGAAGGCTTAATGAAAGAAAACTATGTGGAGGTGTCAGAGCTCCAGAAAGGAGGAGGCCGGGTTCAGCAGGAGCCAGTCCGAGCAGGAGTGGCCCTGGTCAGACAGAGGTTGGACAGATGCTGGGTGTACACTCTGGAGAAATGGCTGTGCTTTTTTTCGGGGGGGGGGGGGGGGGGAGATATTATGTATATGTACAGCACTGTACTTAAACAAACCGTGAATAGAGCGAGTCCGCCAAAAATGAACCGCGAAGTAGCGAGGGACTACTGTATATGAAAAAAGTTCAAGTGAAAATAATTAATGGTTTGGATGGTGTTTCACATGCATGTTCTTCTAGGAAGGAAAAGGCAAACGTTTTCAGAAAAGCTGGAAAATTACCAAAAATGCAGCGATTTTTTTCTCATCTGTCATTTCATATTTCAGGAGTGTTTTATAATATTAATAATTCGGAAATTTATGTATTGCCTCTTTCAAAAATATAAACTGAAACTGATAAAGAAGAAATTATAAATCAGCTTTGTGCACAAATGCTGCTAAGTCCATTTCAGATGGACAGAAAGCCAAGGAGCATGTCCTGTAGATGAACAATGTATTTTAGCTTTTAAAATGGAAAGAGTAATCTGACATAATGATAAACAATATAATTAGTGTAAATAAAAAATGTTATTAACTCTTAAATTGTTTTTATTTTCATTCAAAGAAAAGTTGTTCATTAAGAACGCTGAATTTTAAACGTGTTCAAATGATAAATGACAAATCTTCTGTATTTTCATAAATAAAATAATTTTCCCTCAGGGCAGGTTAGTTGAGTTATGCGCAGATGCTTAATATTTTTGGTAACCTGTATGTGCACAGATTTGGAGACACGTCCCTCCAAGACGTCATCAACATGGAGAACGTGACTCGCCTCAGTTCATACTACGATCAGTTCAAAGAAGTCCTTCCAGAAGACTGTGAGTTACTCGCTCAGCAATCAGAAGAAACAAACTGTGTTTTCCTCCTAGAATGTCCTGATCGTTCCTCCTCTCGTGTCTCCTCAGGCCTCCCTCGCTCTCGCAGCACCACCAGCCTGCCGGAGCTGCTCAAACTGCTGAGCCAGAACGTTAACGCCAAGAAAAGCAAAAACGTGGAGATCCTGTGGCAAGCAGCCGAGGTGCAGCTGGTGATCGTTTTTTTATTCGTGTTCCAACAAAATACTATTTCTTCGATTTCTAATGTGCCTCTGTCAACCTTAAAGGCATGTCGACGCCTGAACGGTGTGCGTTTCACCAGCTGTAAAAGTGCCAAAGACCGCACGGCCATGTCTCTGACCCTGGAACAATGCCAGATTCTGCAGCAGGAGCACGCCATGGCCCCGCAGGTCTTCTACCAGGCCCTGGATTGTATGCGCAGGTCAGTTCCTTCACATAAAGCTCTTTCAGAGGAAAATAAAAGCCGCTCAAACTAATTAAATAAAGCTTTACTTTATGTCCACAGCGAGGGCTGCAGGAGAGAAAACACCATGAAGAATGTGGGGTGTCGTAAATATGCCTTCAACTCTCTGCAGCTCAAGGCCTTCCCCAAACAGTACCGCCCTCCAGAGGGGACGTACGGGAAGGTCGAGACATAAGTGGACATTTATGGTGAAATACAAAAGACTGAATTTGAAGCTGACTGAAAATAAACATTTAAATTTAAATAAAAATTAGACAAACTGTTCAGTTTTTTGTGCTAAGTAAATGTCGAGACGATTTATGTGGAAGTGCCAGTGCTACCGTAGACTGTTTTATAAGCAGCTCGCCCTCGCCCATCAGTAGCGCTAGAATTGATCACTTTTCACGAGCACGATCAGTAAAGACGCGGCTTTCTGTGTCACCGTGTTTTCAGTGTGCAGACCATGTTGTGTCTGTAGCGAGGCGAACACTCTGGATTCCAGTCATGTTAACGCGTGTCTTACAGACGTTGCTGCAGCAAAAATAAAGCACACATTTCTGGGAAATACAAGTAAAACTGGGAGAAAAATGGTAATTTGTGTATTTATTGGGCTTGCTTACCTCATGATGTGGGAAATCTCAATGTACCATCAGAGTTTGACAGCAAGAAGGCCTGAAAGATATACGCTTTGAGAAAACAGTTGTGTTTATCCGCACAAATAAAGGGACCAAGCCATGGTCGGGAAAGTGGTTTAAGCCAGAAAACACAGACAATGAGCTCTGCTGTATTTTCTTTGCAGACGGTGGTGAAGATGCATCAGCAGACCCCATTTACAGAGACAGAAACAACATATGCAAAGTGTCAGCTGTGACAGAAATGATGTTGGTACATATAAAAAGGCAGCGCTGCTTTTATTTCATGCTGTTATCTTGTATGTATGGGAAGAAAGTCTATATTTTATGACTCAACATGCAGTAACAGAAGCCTTATTTAACATTTTCATCTGAGCTTGGTTAGCAAAACTGTTGCGCCTGTTGACTTGTAGTAAATCAAAATGTTTGTTTCTGTGCATAACGGATTTAATGCATACATCAACTGAGACACGTTTTCTTTTAAGCTAACTCACTTTAACAGTTTTCAAATAAAATGATATGAAAGCACAAAAGCAAAATGTTTGGACTTTTTGCATGGACGTTTTTAACCCCTGCGCACACATCTCAGCTTTTATTGTTTAGTGCAGCAGCTAAAAGGTTTTAAGTTCTTGTTTGGAGAATTGTACTTTTTTGGATCCGTTTCTTTTTTGTGGAAAGATGTTTTATCCTCTATCCAGAGGGCTTCATCAGTCAGAGGAGTCCCAAGTAAACTGTTTTCCCCTCTAAGCAGCTCACTTACTGCCTAGGAGGAGTCGACAGGGGACAGGACAACCCCCAGAAACCATCTTATCACCAGCAAACTGGTTGGTCCCTAAAGGAGTGTACTGCTTTAGTGGGGAAAACAGTTTACTTGGGACTCAGAGTGATGAAACCCTACAGATAGAGGGCGAAACGTCTTTCCACAAAAAAGAAACTGTCCCGATGACCTGATTGACCATTATTGGATTTTGTACCTGGATGATTGAGCATGAACTTTGATACGATATACAACAATTAAAGCAATGACAAAAAACATTAAAATTAAGGTGCCAAATTAAATTGAGTAAAATGCTAAAAATAAGAACAAATGTTTCAAGTGACCTTAAAAAAAAATTGAAATCTCCCAGAGAAATCCAAGTGAACAGCCTCAGATCTTGTTGCAAGGTGTTACAGGAGCAGAGCAGGAAAAGGCCTTTTTGTGAAGTTCAGTCCGCACTGAGGGCACGCTGCAATGATGGCCTGAGAGCGCACGCTGTAACTGCACTGACGACGTGACATGTGGGAGAAGATATAAGAAGACAGCAGACCAAGGAGTGATTTATAGATGAAGCTGAACCAGTGATGTGATGATGACCAACTGACCAGTGAGTACAGAGTGCAGTGATGGTAGTTACAGTCAGTTATGAACTTTAGTAAGCTGTGGTAGACCACATCCAACATCTATAAAGACGTGCCAGAGGCATTCATGTCCCCATAGCAGATTAGAAAATGCCAGATACAAGTCATTTCATGGTGATCATGAAAAAGAACTCTAATTTCAGTTTTTTATATATATATATATGACTTAAAAAATAGGTCAGTTCCCAGGTACGTATTTATCAGAGTCCACAAACTCTATAGGAACACCATATCTGCATGTGACGGATAAGAACTGCTGACACTAACTTTTTGTTTGAAAAAAGCATCCCCTCAGTTTTATCAGCATTTAGCACCAGTTTAAGATGAATAGATCTAACTGAATATGTCAAATGCAGTAAAAGTAAATAAATAAATAAAAACTCTATAACTGTGTTAAGGTGACAATTATCAACAAAATAAACAATTAAGACAGTCTATTGTAGATTTTTGAGTGTTTAGGAATATTTTGTTGCTGCAAAAGTCCCCCCCCCCCCCCCCACACACACACACACACACACACACACACACTTTTTTTAACAGATGTTTGCCTTCAGAGTTTTCTTGTGTTCAATTTAATCTATTTGACCTATCATTTATTCAGGTCTTGTTTACCAATGTAAGTGGGTTCTTTTTCTAATATTTGTACAAAAACAAGGCTTGTAAACATGAGGCAACAGACTGTTTAACCTGTTCATCTGCAGGCTTGTAAGGCTCAATCACAAATAAGATTTTTCTGTTGATTCTCTCATTAAGGTTATTTTTATTCTTCCAGACCATTACTTGTTTAGTGTTAACTTTTTCCTTTTATTTTTTTATTTTTTTTATTAACATATTACGGAGTGAAGCTTTTCGTATGCATGAACTGCAGTACCATTGTGTTGCTTCTAGTCTCTATGGGGTAATTATATGTCATGATGAAATAAAAAATACTGCTATCTTCTCATTTTTCTTCTTTCTGGAATAAAAACTTTTTATTTGATGTTTGCGTTGTTGTGCAGTTCAGACTCTTCATGAAAACAACAACTTTTGGACCAAAGTAGACAATGCATTAAACATCTGTTTACCATCTCCAGGCATCAGTGGAAATTAATTTAAAATATTGTTCAAAGTTTTTAAATGAGCATGCTTTATTCTGACCATACATGCTTTTTATGCTTTTAGATTTAATTGAGTAGTTTTTATTGTTATTAGTATGAGCAAACATATTGAGCAGAGAGTGCTTAAACTACCGAGGACGGTTAAAATGGAATAAATAAATAAAAATATAGTTTATTTCATCCCAGCAGGTGGCGGTGCATTAAAACGAGCTGGTAGTTGAATCACCAACGAAGAAGAAGAAGTTGCGGGAGAAGAAGAAACGGACAAACGTGATAAAATCTTTGGGTTCTGGCACGTGTCAAGTTTGTCTCTTCTCTGTGTGGCGGTGAGATGATGCTTCACATTAATTCAAGAATTTAAAAGCAGAAAAACTGACTATGGGTCACGCGGGGAAAAGTTCACGATTAGTTTACGTGTACATCAGAACACCGGTTAGATAAACATCAAAGAAACCGGAAGTTTACCTATTACCGATCCATCCATTATCTTCCGCTTGTTCTGATCGATTACCGACCATTACCATCGATGGACCATTACCGATCGATGTTCACATTTCTTTAAATGTATAAAATGTTATTTATGTTGACATATAAATTTGTTCGCCTCTTTCGATTCTGTTTAAAACCAAAGGCGGCCCGGTTTTGTGTCCAGTTTTGTTTCCACCCGGAGTTAATAGTGCGTGGGACCATTTAATGTCCCGGGAGTCTCGAGCGCCCACCCGCTAACTTTTAATATACAGTAAGTTATGTGGTTCCGTTTGCACCTAAATTGAAATATTTTATGATGTATTTATTTATTTAATGATTAACGGCCTAGTCGACACGATTTATTACAAGAAACTAAGGCTATAAATATTTCACTGAATTGTGTAATGAATGAGTTTCACTTTCTAAAATGATAGACAAAAAAAAAAACTTTTTCACGATATTCTTATTTTTTAAATGCACCTATATGTGATTCGCCATTGAAACATGTTACTTTGTTCCCTTGACAGACCCACAGTAATTACAACATTTTAATTACAAATTTTCAACATGTTCCTAAGTGGATACACAAGTAACAAACAGGTTACTTGTGTATCCATCAATTTATATTAAATCTGGCGATGCTTATACAACAATAATAAAAGTTAAATGTACATAAGGATCAAAATAAATTTAATTAAAAAAAATAGAAACACTCGTTCAGACTCTTACGTGACCACTCCATCTTTTCTCAAAAAGATGAATAAAAGTTTATCTCCAAACTTACTTATTTATCATCAGCTTTGTTATAAATCACATATAGCTTTTAATATAAATAAATAACTCTATAAAATAATTTTAAAATAAAATATTGGCAAACATTTCTTTCTTTTTTCTTTTATTTCATCAACGTTAATTCATCTGTGTTGTATATCCTTTGTTTGCAGAGTTTTTTCACATGACTGTTGTTGGCTTCAATCTGTCAGAGGAACCCACCCCAGTCTGCACACTCAGCAATAAGTACCAGTAGGTTTTATCAAAGCTTAGTGTGTGAAACTCATGCAGTGTTCCCTTTTTATACACTCATGTCATCTATTTGCTCACTCAGGATAAAACAGTTTCACAGCCGATGACGTCGCTGTGTAAAAAGAGGAACCTGACAGTGGACAGAAAAACAGGACAGAGCTGTGCTGAGCAACAACAGAGACATTTTCAGACCAACCAGGACAAAAGTAAGAGATATTCCCTTTCCACTATATGTAGCAAATATCCTTCCAAAATAAAATCAAAATTAGAGTCTTCTGAGGAAGTAGAGCTCTGAATACAGCATACCTTTTCTGCTGAGGTGCAACATTTCAGCTGTATTTATGACTTGGATTTATGAGGGATAAAAGATGTCGTGTTTATGCTCTTCAGGATACAGGATGAGTAAGAAGCTGCTGGTAGATGTGGACTGCGGTGTGGACGATGCTCAGGCCATCATGTTGGCGCTGGCTGCTCCCAGTGTGCAGCTCCTGGGTGTCACCTGCGTGCACGGAAACACTGCAGTGGAGAATGTGTGCAAGAACACTCTGAGAGTTCTGCAGGCCTGTAATAAACTGGAGGTGGGTGGGTGCTGAATTTCAATCAAATAGTTTTTCTTTTGTTGATGTTTGATTGTTTTATGTTTGTTGTTTTGATATATTTTTTTTTATTAATGTTTGATCTGAAATTTATTTTCTTTACCCCAAACTTTAAATCCCAAAGAACTTTGCACAAAGAGTTATTGTTTTTGGCTACTTTAAAGGAAGAAGTGCTCTTTTAGCAGCTCTTAAAGTCAAACAGGAAGGAAAGAAGTTTATATAGTAGATACAGAAATAAATTTTAAACAGCTTTTTGTCTCAAGAGTGGACTCAGTAAAAGTGAGCATTTATGAATTTAAAAATATGTTTCTTTTATGGAATATAAACTTTTGTGGATTCAGTTTATGGAATAAATCATTTTCAAGTTTTACTGATGGTGACAATAATTTGAATTGTCTTGCATCACATGACGTCCGCCTGCTTTTATTCCCTTTGTTCATCTATGAGTTGTCCTCAAACCACATGTTTCAGTAAAATAACTGAACATCCACCACTTCTCCTTGATTAAAATTTGTAAGATTCAACAGATGCATTTCACTTTCAAAACAAATGTTTGTTTTGGTTTGGTACTGTGTAAGAAAATTACAGTCTTATTAAATGAACAGTTCAATTTAATTTATCTAGCACCAATTCACAACAAATGTCTCAGGACAGTTTTCATAGATAGAGCGTATTGTATCGATTATTTGATGAATCATTAAACCTGGTAAGGAAAACTGAGCACATCGTGTTAAAGTGAGACTGCAGATGATTTCTTTGAATCGACTTTTCCTTCAGAACATCTGTGGGTCTTTTCAGGACTCCAGTGTGGGAGAAAAGAACTTCATTAAAATTGAATTGCTGCCTTTTATATACATAAACAAAATTATGTCACACTTAGTAGAAAAATGTTGTACCACATATCAGTTTAATTTGTTTTTATGAAATGTTGAGTGAGGTTACCACATTAAGTGTTCATTTTTTAGTCTAACTATTAATACAATGCAAGCTCGTTTTTATAAATTAATACAAAACTGTGTTGCATACAAACAGTTAATAATGATTGCAGTCGTGTGTGTTTCTAATAATGTATTTTTTTTTCTGTGTGCTCTTCTGTTCAATGAACAGATTCCAGTGTTTAAAGGTGCTGATAAGCCCATCCTTGGTGACGTCATTGATGCGGGTCACTTCCACGGTCAGGACGGTCTGGGAGACGCTCCTGACCCCCACGCTCCTGGTCTGGACCTGCTTCAGAAAGAAAACGCTGTTTCTGCTATCATCAGGATCGTTAACGAGAATCCAGGAGAGGTTAGAGCTTGAGAATCGCTGTGTGTGTTTTGGAGCTGTTTGCTTTGTGCACATAATAAATCTATGAATCTGTTTTTAGGTATCTCTGGTGGCCACAGCCCCCCTCACCAACCTGGCTCTGGCTGTGAGGATGGATCCATCGCTGCCAAGCAAACTCAAAGGGCTGTACATCATGGGGGGCAACACTGAGTGTGAGTGAAGCGCCGACATCTTCTCGTGTTTTCTTTGTTTTGTTTGTTGCAGCTGAATTACAACAGTTTAGGTCAGAGGTCACTAATGGGCGGACCTCGCTCCGAATCAGGACCCAGTGATGGTTCTGTCCGGACCCGTGCCCAATCTGATAAATTCACGAAAATAGATAATTTTCATGGAGCATTTTTCCAGCGATAGACAACTTAGGTGCAGAGAAGCAGGAGGTGTGTTTTGGAGGTTCACTCTACTTCAGGTGTTACAGTAATATCATCACTCAGTTAAAGAGCCAATCAAATCTTTTGTTTCTCCTGCACGGCCGGTGCACCGAGCTCTCAGAGAAGATTTGAGAAGGAACAGAGATGAAGACACGTCATGTCGTGCTCCAAAATAAGAAAAGTTGTTGCTGTAAACTGGTGTTTTAAAGATGAATGAACAGAGAAATGAATGTTCATTCTTCCATCAGGCAGTTCAAAACCTGTTTGCCTCATATGCTCTGAAACGGTCGCATTAATTAAAAGTGGCAACGTGAAGCACCACTACGAAACTAAACACATCTCTTTTGTTGAAGTCGAGCAGAGAGCAGTAAATTAACCGAACTGCAAGCCCAGTATGACAGATCCACCTCATCACAAATACTTCTACAGCCCAGCAGCAGCTGAATGTTCACTCAAGGTGCGGTGGATTTTGGGGCAACATAAAAAAACATTTAGTGACGGGACAGTCCTGAACAAGGTCAAATTAAATATGGGCAACTGGGCAAGTGCCCCCACAATCTCTAAGGGGCCCAGGGCAGTGAGGGCACAAGCAAAGTATCTGGTCATCTCCTGCTTTACTCGGAACCCTGCGCTGCACAGACTGCTGCGCTTCCTGCATTTGGGTAGCCCCGCCTCCTCCCATTTTTGCAGTTTTTTAATCTACGTTAATCTACTTAATGAAGAATAGTATGACTTTAAATCATTCATAAAACAGGAAGGAAGGATTATTATCCCTCCTCTTACTACAGTGAATGTGGTACTTTGCTATAAGTACAACTATATTAATGGCATCAGAGAAAGCTGAGCTTAAGTTATCCACATAAAGTAAAATGTTCTCAGCATCAAAAGAAGGAATTTTAAGTTTGAGATTAATCCAGTTTCTGATTTCTGACCAAACACTTTGTATTGACATGAAAAAATAAATTGATTGAGGGATTCATCTTCTGATTTACAGAAGACACACAAATCAACATCAAATTTAAATCTTTTTCAAGAAACATGGCTACAGGATATATTTATTTATTATTTTAAAATGATTCTCCTTCACTTTAGGAGATTTAGGTCATTTGACAAATTTAGAATGAGCAGAAGTCATACTGGTTTTATGATTTATACTGGGAGGTTTCTTGAAGAATCAATAAATGTTTAGGTGCAAACAGTCTACAGATGTTAAAACAGTCTACAGATGTTAAAACAGTCTACAGATGTTACTGATGATGCTCAGCCTCCTACATGAGAATGGCTCTGACTCCAACCAAGATTTAAATTACTGGCAGGACAATCCCATTTCTCTCATTAAGAAAAGTAAAATAAAGAATTAGAAAGAATTTTACCTGGATTATTGAGCATGCATCAGGATGAAATAAAGAATAATCAAAAGAGAAAAGGTGTTAAATGCTGTTTTCACTTTTTTCCTAAAAGAGCCATTTTTATTTGTTGTTTTCTGAAGATGCTGACGTGTTTTACTTGAAAACTTAAATTTGTATAGCTTGGTGCCTCTTTAACAAACAAAAAAAAAGAGAAAAATCTTTAATTGCTGTGCTTTTTTAAAATTTACTAAAAGAGACACTTTTAAATTGTTTTCTGTTTTCCAAAGATGTTAACTTTTTCTACTTTAAGTGTAAACCTTCAATTCTTGGACCTCTTCAGTTTAAAAGAAAAATGCTTATTAGGCTCAGTTTGCACATTTAGGATGTATTTTATTCTGATCTTTCAGTTTTAATCTGAAATAAAGGCTTTAAATGTATTTGCCTTGGACTAATTTTAAATATGGAGCTAGTTGTTTAAAGTGCAATTAGTTAAAAGTGAAAATGTGAACATACGGGTAGGCACGACCATAAAAGTCAAACGTTAGACCTTTGTTAGGACCTTTTTAATAGGAGGAAAATGTAGTAACTGGACCTCAGTGAGTTTTAGTTTAATACCTCTGGTTTAGGTAATACAATCTTAGTGTGGTTCAAAAACAACTCTGTTTATAATAAAAAGGAGCTAAATTAGTCATTAGTGCACAGTGAGGCCTGTTGTGAGGACGTCTCATCATCCTGTCTGTCTCCTGTATTGCAGCTCGAGGAAACATCACAGTGTGTGCAGAGTTTAATTTTGCTGCTGATCCAGAAGCTGCGTACATCGTGCTCAATGATTACCAGTGTCCTACTTACCTGGCATGCTGGGAGTTCACCTGCTACAGCAAGCTGCCCTGGGTAATACAGGTTATTTTGTACAGAGCTCATCATATGCACATACAGTCATGGGTAAAGTATTTTGTTTCAGGACAATTATATTGTAAATTGTTTGTTTTTAAATCAAAATGAACGTTGTGACAGATTACATTGTGGTTTACTGAATGAAAACTGAGCCAAAATGAAGATTTGATGTTAGTTAAATAAAATCCACAACATGATTCTGTAGCCTCCAGTTTCATTTTAAAATACTTCTGTGGCCCAAATTATCACCCTTCCTTCACCGTGCTTGTCCGATGGTGTGAGGTTTTGTCAAACTAGGTGTTGTACAGAGTTGGGTGTTGTAAATTATTTCCAGAAAACTCCACATTAGCCACATTCCATTTTGTGGTTTGTTAAAATATAATTTTACAAATCCAAGTCATGCTGTCTTGTTTCATAAAGAGGTGAAAACCGGTTTTATTCAGGCAACGTTTCCCAACACGAAACATTTATTTCCAGTACCAAAGTTCATGCTCAATAATCCAGGTATAAAATCCAACAATGTTCAGTCAGGTCATCTGGACAGTTTCTTTTTTTGCTGAGACATTTTGTGCTTCATCCAAAGGACTTCCTCAAAGGAGGGAAGTTTTGAACCACTTTGATGTGACTGTCTTAGAGAAGCTGACGAGGGAGCGAGTGGGCCCCAGAAACCATTTTAGCACCAGTAAACTGTTTTTTTTCCACTATGGAGTGAGCTGTTTGTGGGAAGCAGTTTTGTTCGGTGGCTTCTCGGATTGAGGAAATCCTTTGGATGAAGGATGAAACGTGTCAACAACGAAAAAAAAGAAACCATCCAGCTGACCAGACTGAACATTGTTGGACTTGTTTCTAGTCTTTCTGCATGTAACCTGCTAATCCGGGCCTGTAAAGTCAAACGTGGACCTCAGCGTTTTGTTCTTGTTATTGTTCTCTGAGCTGAGAACGATGAGCAACAGACTTGAATGTTTTTCACTGTTAAAAAAAGAAATTAAAATGATGAACAGCAGATTGTTTAATAACTCTTCCCTTACCTTGGCCATTACTGACGTCTTTCTTTTTTAGTCCAACAATGTTCAGTCAGGTCATCTGGACGGTTTCTTTTTTTTTTTTTGCCGAGACGTTTCGTCCTTCATCCAAAGGACTTCTTCAAAACAAACGAGTCCCATAGCCACCACACTCTCATAGTGGAACAAAACAGTTTGCTGGTGATACGCTGGTTTAGAAACCGTCCCTTACTGAGCATGAACTTTGGTGTTTTGAACCACTTTGGCATGGCTGCCTTAGAGGAGTTGATGGGGGAGAGTGTGGGCCCCAGAAACCATCTTAGCACCAGCAAACTGTTGTTTTTTTTCCACTATGAGAGTGTGGTGGTTGTGGGACTGCAGTTTGTTTGTGGCTCCTCAGACTGAAGAAATCCTTTGGATGAAGGATGAAATGTCTCAGAAAAAAAAAAAAAGAAACCGTCCAGATGACCTGACGATTACCTGGATTACTGAGCATGAACTGTGGTTTTTCCTTTTTAGTACTTCTTTTAAAGAGGTCCTCACACCTGCTGAGATCAGAGAGTCTGTGAATATATTGAGTTTTATGTGACTGCTTTGGGTTTTCCTACTTCCTATGAAGGCAGTAAAGGTGAAAGGTGTTTTTTTTTCCCACACACTTTTTTCTGTATTTTGACGTAAAAGATTTAAAAGCACATTTGTAATATGTTGTTTTAAGATCTAAAAAAAAAAAAGCCCCAGATGGTTTCTGTTTTTCTTCTGAAGTGTAAAATCGTAAACATATTTTAATTATAGATCTACTTTTTATTATTCGCCACATGTTGTGTATTTTTATCTACCAAAAGTGCTGCAGCTTTTCCGTGTTCATCCCTCCAGGAGTTCTGCGACGCCTGGTTGGCGCAGGACAGCCACAAAGCTCGCTTCATGGCGCAGATCTTCCGCCACAGCATCGAGGCGTCTAAATCCGAACGCTTCGAGAAGGAGTTCTTCACCGGCAACGGCTTCATCTCCTGCGACTCGTACGCCATGGCGGCTGCTGTGGACGACTCGTTCATCACAGAAAGTGATCATTACCCAGTTAGTGTAGAGCTGGTGGGAACTCACACCAGAGGAATGATGGTAGTGGACACTCTGGGGCTCCTGAAGAAGTCTCACAAGGTTTTTATCATGAAGAAGGTGGATTTGGAGAGGTTTAAGCAGATGATGGTGGCTGCTTTAAAATAACTGACCAAGTTATTAGACTTTGTTTTTCACTGAACAGTTTAGAAGAAACTTTGCAAATGTGTCAGTATAAAAACTAAGCACGTTTTTTTTATATCCCTGTACAACAGGCGTGTACTCATCAGATGACTGATACAAGAAAATGTATCATTAAAACAGTGTCCGCCACTCTAAAGTGACAAAGCTTTAAAATGCTATTCTCCCTAAATACATAAATAAGGATTACCGTATTTTCTGCTGTACACATCGCACCACCGTATAAGTCACATCTATTATGCGTCACCGCTGACAGCCCGGAAATGTGGGCCGTTCTGCCAAAAATCGATTGGCTGTCAAATGGTGGCCGCGGGAGCGTGCACAGGAGGACTTTAGCAAGAATTTAACAAGATTAACACTTAGAACAATTATTTGTTTGCGTGACATAGTAAAGGTGTGTCTCAGTTGAACTTTTCCTTAATAAATGCACTTTAATGGTCAAATCAGCTGCATTTCGCTCGGGCAGCGCAATGAAATTCAACTGATTTGACGTTTGCTCCAGGAGTTCTGGAGCGAGACGAAGGTGGCTGTATGGCAAGCCAAGTGTCTCACTAATATCCACTTTAACATATTAATGAGACCCTTGGCTTGCCAAATTAGTCGAGGGTCCTCTAGTGGCTAAAAATGGTAATGTTCAATGTTTTCCATGTGTGAATGAATGAAATCATCAGATCTAGGGGTGCACTGATTACAGTTTTCTGGCCGATCGCAGATTTCTAAAAAGTCTGACCTACCGATACTGATTTTGTTTCATAAGCAACACTGTCAGGTGTTATAAGTTCACAATGCACCTTCAGTTTTCCAATATTATTTTGTTGAAAAACATACCCGTGAACAACTTCCTAAAAACAATACAAACTTGTTTTAACTGGCCACGAGGTAGTGCTCTGAAATATAAATGAAGTTCAGACAATTGTTGTTAAAACAAAAAAAAGGGTAAAATCGGTTTCTCGTTTAAGTTTCATTTCCCAAAATTAAGGAAATTGGGGCCGATTTATCAACCGGATGATTTATCGGTGCACCTCTAGTCAGATCTCAGCCAAAAATTGGGTTATAAATATGGAAAAAAAACTTATATTAGTCGCTTCGGTGTATAAAACGCAGGACTTGTAAATTTATGCAAAAAAGGTGTGACTTATACGGTAAAAAAATACGGTAATAAGAAATAAATATGGTCAGATGTGGGGGCTTATGAAAAGATTTAAAGTTACCCCCCATGCTGTGTTTTATATAATAAAACATGGAGTTTAAATTAATATATAAAAAAAGAAAACTGGCTTAGAGGTAAAATACAGTATGAAAGAAAACATCAGGCTGTACATAAGCCACCGTTTAGTTTTAAACTTACAGAGGAACAACTAGTTGTTATAACCCGTCACCTTTAGTTTTATTCTAATTTGAACCATTTTGTGTTTTTTAAAAAATAAAAGAAAATCCACAATGAAAGACCCGCAGTCTGCTGGTAATGTGCTTGAAATAAACTTGAGCTACTCCAGAACAAGGAAGTGAAATCACTGCCGTGCTGCAGTTTGTGGTTTGTAAAAATCACTGCAGAGTTGTGTTTGATCACTGACTCAGCAACATGTGGAGCAGCTATTTAGTGCTGAGTCACCCTAACAGAAAGCTCAGACAGGTGTGTGGCGGTACTGTACAAAGATCATCAAACCTGATCTTTGGACTATATTGCAGTTTTTACTGCACCACATTTGTCGTGTCTGCACTTGTTCATTTTAATCCATGAAACTAAAAGTATAAACCTGTTATTTTAGCACTAATAACATTCACTATTTTCACATTTGCGCGCATCACTGTTCCCACAAGTGTCACTGTCTGTACACGACTTTCAAACAGACTGAATATTAACTTGTCGCTTCCTTTTTTTGTAACTTCCCTCAAGCAGTCCTCCCTTTCCTGAGCTGGATTTCTGTTTTTCGGCTCAAAGGTTGTTTTCTGCTGACCTTCGTTTTATCGAGATCTCACTACTTTATTTTTACAGTCAGCAGCAGGTAAGTGTTTTCAGGCGGATAAACTGTGTTACACATATTGAAGTTGACGGATATATGAACATTTATCTTTCTCTGTGATTTTTCTGTTTGCTTGTGAATGTATCATCTCTTTTTTTTACGATTGTGGGTCTTTTATCTAATTTTTGATTCATCTGTTGAGTCCTACAGTCTTTTATTTAGATAATTTGTGAATGAATGGTAAAATAGTCATTTAATGTCACAGATACAGTAGAATTGCATATACTGATTAAATTTAACCTAAAATGAGGTATCGATGTGTTTCACTGCTCCATGAGAACTGTTTGTTCATGCGTTCTGTTATTCTCTTAATAAAGACGACGCTTCTTGTGATTACCATATTTTCCGGCGTTAAGTCACAGTTTTTGCATAGATTTGTCTCCTGTGACTTAAATACGTTTCCCCCCATATTCATAACACAATTTTTGATTAATGCTTTAAATTTCAAAGAACCACAACACCGAGTCCTCCCGTGTGCGCTCGCTTCACTCAGCTGGTGCAGGCGGAGGAAATGCTGGAGAGCTAGTGGCTCCGGCCGCGATGCATGGATGGATGGATGGCACCGCCCAGGAGAAATTAAGCTGTTTTGACCATTAAATAAACGGGACGGGTCAGTGGTGACGCATAATAAATGCGACTTATACGCCAAAGTGACTTGTATACGTTTTTTTCCTCTTGCTTTTTTTTGACTGATGCGACTTATACTCCGGAAAATACGGTATTTGAGTTTTGTCAAACCCAACAGGTGAGTTCAGGATGCTTCTGCAGCTCAAACTGTTCCACTGTAGCTGTAGGTCTAAGCTTTGTGCTCTGCGGGGTACACGATGAGTAAGAAGCTGTTGGTGGACGTGGACTGCGGGGTGGACGATGCTCAGGCCATCATGTTGGCTCTGGCCGCCCCCGACGTGAAGCTTCTGGGCGTCACCTGCGTGCACGGAAACACTGCAGTGGAGAACGTGTGCAAGAATGTTCTGCGAGTTCTGCAAGCCTGCAACAAACTTGAGGTGGGTTCATGTGCAGCATCTTGATGTAAAACACACCTGTCAGTAAGGTGACACTGAGACACGTTAAATGTTGCTTTATGTTTACAGACAATAATTTACTCTAAAAATATCCCAAAGATCAATCAAGACTGTCTTTTTCATGTTTGCATTTCATTTACCCTCTCCAACTAGATTCCAGTGTTTAAAGGCGCTGATAAGCCCATCCTTGGTAACACCATCAGCGCAGGACTCTTCCACGGGCAGGACGGACTGGGAGACGCTCCGGACCCCCACGCTCCTGGTCTGGACCTGCTTCAGAAGGAGAACGCTGTGTCTGCTATCATCAGGATTATTAACGAGAACCCAGGAGAAGTGAGATGTTCAGAAACAGCTGTGTATAATCCAGGCTATAGTTTACCATCAGTGAGATTTTGATACTTCCAGGAAGGATGTATTAGTGATGCTTTAGAAGGCTAGTACTCCAAAGTAAACCAGTGACCATTTGTGAATTGCATAAAAGTAAATTTGCCCAATAGTAAGACAAAATTCATAATTTGGACTAAATATTAAATATACTAAAGAGAAAAAAAATGCATCTGTGACATCAAAAGTGCTGACTGGCTCAGGGATCAGTGCATCACTAATCAGAGTTTTTGATTAGGAGGCTAATTCTCTAAATAATGAACAGAAAACCTCCAGTCAAACATCCACATTTGTGTACTGGGAAACAACAAAAATGTTCCAGATGTTTGAAGCCAGATTGTTTAGTCAGATGACTCCCAGGAAAGGACAAGCACATGATCTGCATTTGTCAGACGTGATGGAGGTAGTATAATGGTAAGCGTATGGCTGTCAATAGAGTTGGTCCACCATCGCTATTGATAAAATAGAAAATATAAGAACTTCTTACAAATGTAACAGTATTCTTAACTATATAAAGATGTAAATCCTGCTCATATTCAGTGCAGTGACGTGCAGTGAGCTTTGTGGCGGGTGATTCACTGACTTGTCTGGAATCGGATGCTCACATATATGAACCCAAAATAGAAGCTTATTTCAATTTAGCCTTTTTTTTTGTCTAAAAAGACATCTAATTATGCTTTAATCAACTCCATACTCCTCTTTTTAAATACAAACCGGATTCCAAAAAAGTTGGGACACTAAACAAATTGTGAATAAAAACTGAATGCAATGATGTGGTGGTGCCAACATCTAATATTTTATTCAGAATAGAACACAAATCACAGATCAAAAGTTTAAACTGAGAGAATGTATCATTTTTATGGGAAAAATCTGTTGTTTCCAAATTTCACGGCGTCAACAAATCCCAAAAAAGTTGGGACAAGTCCATTTTTACCACTGTGTGGCATCCCCCCTTCTTCTTACAACACTCAGCAGACGTCTGGGGACAGAGGAGACCAGTTTCTCAAGTTTAGAAATAGGAATGCTCTCCCATTCATGTCTAATACAGGCCTCTAACTGTTCAATCGTCTTGGGCCTTCTTTGTCACACCTTCCTCTTTATGATGCGCCAAATGTTCTCTATAGGTGAAAGATCTGGACTGCAGGCTGGCCATTTCAGTACCTGGATCCTTCTCCTACGTAGCCATGATGTTGTGATTGCTGCAGAATGTGGTCTGGCATTATTGTGTTGAAAAATGCAGGGTCTTCCCTGAAAGAGATGACGTCTAGATGGGAGCATATGTTGTTCTAGAACCTGAACATAGTTCTCTGCATTAATGGTGCCTTTCCAGACATGCAAGCTGCCCATGCCACAAGCGCTCATGCAACCCCATACCATCAGTGATGCAGGCTTCTGAACGGAGCGTTGATAACAACTTGGGCTATCCTTGTCCTCTCTGGTCCGGATGACATGGCGTCCCAGTGTTCCATAAAGAACTTCAAATCGTGACTCATCTGACCACAGAACAGTCTTCCATTTTGCCACACTCCATTTTAAATGACCCCTGGCCCAGTGCACACGTCTGAGCTTGTGGAGCTTGCTTAGAAATGGCTTCCTCTTTGCACTGTAGAGTTTCAGCTGGCAACGGCGGATGGCACGGTGGATTGTGTTCACTGACAATGCTTTCTGGAAGTATTCCTGAGCCCATTCTGTTATTTCCTTGACAGTGGCATTTCTGTTTGAGGTGCAGTGACATTTAAGGGCCCGGAGATCACGAGCATCCAGTAGAGTTTTACGACCTTGACCCTTACGCACAGCGATTGTTCCAGATTCTCTGAATCTTTTGATGATGTTATGCACAGTTGATGATGATAACTTAAAAGTCTTTGCTATTTAGGGGGCCGAGATGGTGTAGAGGCAGGGCAGCTGGCTTGGGACCCGAAAGTCCCAGGCTCGATCCCCAGTCACTGCACATCACGTGGCGTCTCTGGGCAGCACGCCTCACCCCCAAAATGCCCCCCGGGCGCCCTCAATAGCTGCCCACTGCACCACCTGGTGGTGGATGGGTTAAATGCAGAGACTAATTTCACCATTGTATGGAAACATACAGTGCTGACATTGTGATGACATTATTATTATTATTATTTTACGCTGGGTAACACCATTCTGGTATTGCTGCACTATATTTCTGTGCAACAATGGTGGAATTGGTGATCCTCTTACCATCTTGGCTTCTGAGAGACACTGACACTCTGAGAAGCTCTTTTTATACCCAATCATGTTGTCAATTGACCTAATTAGTGTTAAGTGGTCTTCCAGCTGTTCGTTATATGCTCAATTTCCTTTTTCCAGCCACTTATTGCTACTTGTCCCAACTTTTTTGGGATTTGTTGACACTGTGAAATTTTGAATCAACATATTTTTTCTTTAAAATGTTACATTTACTCAGATTAAACTTTTGATCTGTCATCTATGTTATATTACGAATAAAATATTGACATTTGCCATCTCCACATCATTGCATTCAGTTTTTATTCACAATTTGTTTAGTGCCCCAACTTTTTTGGAATCCGGTTTGTAAAAAAAACGTATTATCTTTATTTTTAGACGAAGAAGTTTGGAAAAATACTTTAGTTTTGAGTAGGGCTGGACGATACGGCCAAAACTTTTATCACAATATATTTTTTAATTTCGGTCGATAACGATATAATTCCGATATCGATATAAACAATATAAAAGCCTCAGACAAACTGTACAAATACATTTATGTTCATCATAAATGACATCAAAGAAATTTGAAATCACCATTAAAGACAAAACTCAACTTTGTCAGTATTAATAGTTTTAACTTTAAACATCAAAACCTATCGCAGACGTTTGCTGCATGTGTTTCTCTTTTGATACAGCTGGGTGTTTGTTTCAGGGACACGTCAGCTCAAACTTTTATTCTGCTTCATCTTCTGACTCTCAGCAGATTCTTTCGAGTGGAACAAGTTAGATGTTCCCACCGCTAGATGGAACACATTTTGCAGCACACAGAAACCTGCAGTTCATCGGATCTTAGAAAGCCGAACTACTTCCACACAGATAGTCCCTTATCAATTATGTCATCTGCTTTCTCTTCGCTTGTGAAAGCTTGTTCAGTCACATTCTGACCGTCATGGGCACTCATGTTGAAGAGAAAACTTAATGCGCGTTGAAGCTTAGCTTAGCCTGCTACCACTGACTCCTTCGAGCTGTGGTGTACGTCACCACGCACTTACGTATTTGTTTCGTGGCTTTTTCTGTTTGGTTTGAAACTGTAGCGGCCGTTTCAACCCAAACAGAAAAAGCAATGCATCAGTGAAACGCTGTAATCATATTGAAATATGAAAAATGTGCTTAAAACTCATATCACCGTTAGTGAATAAATTATATTGTGATGTATATCGATATCGAATTATTGTCCAGCCCTAGTTTTGATATGATCTTCCACTGCATAACACTACTTCCACTACTCTGGGTAAGAACACACAGCGACGTTTCATTGTCTCTATGGGGCAGCACTGCCCCCTATCGGTGCAGCGTGGTACTTTCTGTCTCACCCTGTGTATTTTCAGCGTGCATTTATGAACAAATAGAAAGAATAAATATGTCTCACACATTCATTCAATATATTAGACTGTAGAACATCAGCATGTGCAGTGCATGTGTAATCAAACATTATATTGGAGATATAAAGAGAGACAGCAATGGGCATGCTCCAACCCCCTACTTCATATATTGTATATGACACAGCGCCCCCAGAGGTGAACCAGAGCACTACACTGCCTCACCTGCATGGTTTGAACAGGCAATGCATACATTCTGAGATTTTGACCATAGAAGTGTTGAAATAATTCAGAATGTCACCATGTCACCGATTCAGTGGTGTTAATGCTTGGACATGATTTTCCAGTGCAGATGGATGAGGATGTTTTAGTTGCTTAAACTCAGCCCAACAGCACAATTAATTAACTGAAGTGAAGGCTTAGAAACTCTAAGAATAAACTCAAGACTGATCTTAAACCTTTTATTAAGACTGGTTACAGCTTGAACTTGTTATTTTAAATCCATGCATCCTTCCCAGGTATCTCTGGTGGCCACAGCCCCCCTCACCAACCTGGCCCTGGCCGTGAGGATGGATCCATCTCTGCCGAGCAAACTCAGAGGGCTGTACATCATGGGGGGCAACACTGAGTGTGAGTGAAGCGTCGACAGCTTCTAGGACTATATTTCTTTTGTTTTCAAAGGAGGCGTCGAGTAGAAAACACTGGGTTTTATTTAGCTGCAGAAACAGAAGACAGAAAAACACTAAACCTTCCTGAATCTAGAACTGGAACCTGCACAGAAACTCACAAACGTACCTGTCATTTTACAAACAGACTTCATGATGCAGGGTAAGGCTGTGAAGTTTAGAAGACTTGCAAATAAGAACACCTTGTACATGTCCATCCATCCATCCATTATCTTTACCCGCTTATTCCATTTTGTGTCACGGGGGTCGCTGGTGCCCATGTCCAGCAATCACTGTGCGAGGGGCGGGGTACACCCTGGACGGGTCGCAAGTCCATCACAGGGCCACATAGAGACAAACGAGACAAACAACCATTCACTCTCTCACTCACACCTAGGGACAATTTAGAGTTACCAATCAGTCTAACATGCATGTTTTTGGTTTGTGGGAGGAAACCGGAGTACCCGGAGAAAACCCACGCATGCACGGAGAGAACTTGCAAACTCCACCCAGAAAGGCCCCTGGACCGGGGTTTGAACCAGGGACCTGCTCGCTGAGAGGCAGCAGCTCTACCAGTTGCGCCACCGTGCTGCCCCTCCTTGTATATGTTTTTGTGTTTATTTTATTTATCGTCTAATGCTTTCAGGTTTGCCTTTACTAGACATTTTACATGAATTTACTGAATTCATGTGAACTTCATGCTAAGCGGTTGCTGTCGGGCAAAACCCTCCTTTTTTCATCATTTTCATGTTTTTACACATCTGTTTGTGGCTAACCAATGAAAATGTCAAAAAGCTTGTAAACTAATGTTTATTGAATTGAAACGATTTAGTTTTCTTGAAAAGTTGAGTTTTTGAAGAAAGAAGGTTAAATATGTAAAATACATTTTCCTTACAGTTCAGTATAATTTTACTTTTTTTTAAATCTTCTCTTAAAGTGTAATTTCCTTGTTTCTTCAAACCATATTTATTAGTGTGTGTTTAAGTTCATTATAGTGTAGTTCAGGGTTATTGTGAAACCTCACGACAAGTGAGTGGTGAAAAGGAATACAAGGTTACAGGCCTAGCATTCCTTGGAGGAATGCATATCGCCCACTACTTTTCATGCTGCAGTTTTAGACTAAATCTATTTTGTTGAAAAATGACATCTTGAGTCATGCTGACTCCAGATGTGCCTCAAACGATTACATTCTGATGGTCTTATTAAACATCAGTCCAGGTTTTTGATGCACTTTTCATTTTACTGTATGTGGAAACTTTCAGAGAAAGTCGTTTGCTTCCTGCACATGGAATTTTTTTTTCTCAGCAAGTTTCTATTAAAATAATAATTAGTTGGCATTGCTAGCTTAATAGCAAATACTTTGAAAGGAGGTTATTGCTCATCATTTTCTGATTGACCAGTTGTTTTGCTTTGATAACTGTGAAGCCTTTAGAGAATGCAAATCAAGTGTACAACATGGAGATTGTCACATTTCTCCCTGGGTCAGGGCGAGTGAGTTATGTTGGATAGAAAAATTGAAATGTCAGTAAATTAGTTAAGTGTTGGTTTCTTGTCGTTCTCTGTCATGCAGCTCGAGGAAACACCACAGTGTGTGGGGAGTTTAATTTCACTGCTGATCCAGAAGCTGCGTACATAGTCCTCAATGATTACCAGTGTCCCACCTACTTGGCCTGCTGGGAGTTCACCTGCTACAACAAGCTGCCCTGGGTAATACTCATTTTAAACAAATACTCCTTCCTTTATAGTCAATCAGCACTTGTGTTTTCATCCCTCCAGGAGTTCTGCGACGCCTGGTTGGTGCAGGACAGCCACAAAGCTCGCTTCATGCAGCAGATCTTCCACCACAGCATCGAGGCGTCCAAATCTGAACGCTTCGAGAAGGAGTTCTTGGCTGGCAGCGGTCTTATTTCCTGTGACTCGTACGCCATGGCGGCTGCTGTGGACGACTCGTTCATCTTAGAAAGTGATCATTACCCGGTTAGTGTAGAGCTGACGGGAAATCACACCAGAGGAATGATGATAGTGGACACTGTGGGGTTTCTGAAGAAGACCCGCAAGGTTTTTATCATGAAGAAGGTGGATATGGAGAGGTTTAAGCAGATGATGATGGCTGCTTTAAAATAACTGACCAGGTGTAAAGTGGTCTCAGTTGGTCATTTATCTGAGCCATGAGTATTTTAGCACTAAACATATGTAGCACACAGCTATACAGCTAGAAAAACTCCTTATTGCACACATTTACCTCAAATTTGTCATGACTCCATCATGCACAATATATTAATATACAATATATATTCATCATCACACTGTTGATCTTCAAACAGAGGTGAAAAGTGTGTTAGAATTTTTTTTTTGTCTCCAAACCCTATGTGTCATTTTCACCACTTTTATTGTCTGTCCAAACAGGTCTCACTTGTAAATGAGTCTTCCAGGCTCAATGTGACTTATCTGTTTAAATAAAGGTTGAATGAATGGAAATAAAAATGTAGACATTTTTATTTGTTTCATCAGATACCACACATTCATTTATCTGGAATAACTAATAATATGTTCCAACCAATGAGCAATCTGTTCTGCATTTGTCCTGATGCGTCTGTGAATTTTTTTTTTTACATGTTTTGGTTTTTCACTGCCAGTTTCTTGGTGTCCTTCAGATCTATAGTGCTGAAAGATGTCCTGTGACATGAACAGCTGTCTTTAAATCCTCTCTGGTATTTCCAGCTGGAAATCTGGTTTCCATTAAACTACAGAGATGCAGCAGCTGGCTCCTCAGTATCCTTTTCTCCCTCTGAACCTTGACCTCATGTCCATCTGGAAACAAAAGACACTAATCAGCGTTTTGCACCACAGATCAAAGTTCAAGTCAGCCTGGAAAGAAAATTGTAGATATGCACAAGTAGATAAAAATGGGCATTTGTTTGTACCTGCTTTGAAAGACAATGACCTAAAGTAATCTATATTACAATCTGCTTGTCTAGCTAAAATTTAAAGTTAGGACTATGATTACTGAGCATGGAGATAGATAGATATACAAAAGTACATAGATAAAATTGTTAAAACCTGGGTATGAGAGGTACAAAATGACCAGTACGACCTGATCCACAGCTGATTTTACAACAGTTTGATCATCAGTGGTAAAACCATTATTACAGACTTACCATTGACCTCTTGCATTCAAAGAACACCGTCTGAAGGGATTTGCAGTGGCCTTCCTTCAGACACTCACTGGGCTTCTTTCCCTCCTGATAGATCAAGACATTGTTTTGAATACATTAGGCCCTTGCTTGTAAAAGTACACAACTTACAGTTTTAAAATCAACCAAGAAACCAATAAATACTACAAAATGGCTTGATTTTTTGTGTGTGCATTTCATAACAGCAACAATTACATAAAAGGTTTGAAAATATATTAAAGGTTTAACTAAATCATGCTCAAACAGCAAAACAAAACCTTGTAACATATTGTTCAATGTACAGGTCCTTCTCAAAAAATTAGCATATTGTGATAAAGGTCATTATTTTCCATAATGTAATGATAAAAATGAAACTTTCATATATTTCAGATTCATTGCACACCAACTGAAATATTTCAGGTCTTTAATTGTTTTAATACTGATGATTATGGCATACAGCTCATGAAAACCCAAAATGCCTGTCCCAAAAAATTAGCATATCATGAAAAGGTTCTCTAAACAAGCTATTAACCTAACCATCTGAATCAACGATGTAACTCTAAACACCTGCAAAAGATTCCTGAGGCTTTTAAAAACTCCCAGCCTTGTTCATTACTCAAAACCGCAATCATGGGTAAGACTGCCGACCTGACTGCTGTCCAGAAGGCCATCATTGACACCCTCAAGCAAGAGGGTAAGACACAGAAAGAAATTGCTGAACAAATAGGCTGTTCCCAGAGTGCTGTATCAAGGCACCTCAGTGGGAAGTCTGTGGGAAGGGAAAAGTGTGGCAGAAAACGCTGCACAACGAGAAGAGGTGACCGGACCCTGAGGAGGATTGTGGAGAAGGGCCGATTCCAGACCTTGGGGGACCTGCGGAAGCAGTGGACTGAGTCTGGAGTAGAAACATCCAGAGCCACCGTGCACAGGCGTGTGCAGGAAATGGGCTACAGGTGCCGCATTCCCCAGGTCAAGCCACTTTTGAACAAGAGACTGCGTCAGAAGCATCTCGCCTGGGACTGCTGCTGAGTGGTCCAAAGTTATGTTCTCTGATTACAGTAAATTTTGCATTTCCTTTGGAAATCAAGGTCCCAGAGTCTGGAGGAAGAGAGGAGACACAGAATTCACATTGCTTGAGGTCCAGTGTCAAGTTTCCACAGTCACAGGGGTGCCATGTCAGCTGCTGGTGTTGGTCCACTGTGTTTTATCAAGCGCAGGGTCAATGCAGCTAGCTATCAAGAGATTTTGGAGCACTTCATGCTTCCATCTGCTGAAAAGCTTTATGGAGATGAAGATTTCATTTTTCAGCATGACCTGGCACCTGCTCACAGTGCCAAAACCACTGGTAAATGGTTTACTGACCATGGTATTACTGTGCTCAATTGGCCTGCCAACTCTCCTGACCTGAACCCCATAGAGAACCTGTGGGATATTGTGAAGAGAAAGTTGAGAGACACAAGACCCAACACTCTGGATGAGCTTAAGGCCGCTATCGAAGCATCCTGGGCCTCCATAACACCTCAGCAGTGCCACAGGCTGATTGCCTCCATGCCACGCCGCATTGAAGCAGTCATTCATGCAAAAGGATTCCCGACCAAGTATTGAGTGCATAACTGAACATGATTATTTGAAGGTTGGTGTTTTTTGTATTAAAAACACTTGTCTTTCATTGGTGGGATGAAATATGCTAATTTTTTGGGACAGGCATTTTGGGTTTTCATGAGCTGTATGCCATAATCATCAGTATTAAAACAATTAAAGACCTGAAATATTTCAGTTGGTGTGCAATGAATCTGAAATATATGAAAGTTTCATTTTTATCATTACATTATGGAAAATGATGACCTTTATCACAATATGCTAATTTTTTGAGAAGGACCTGTATAATGTCCCCCAACACTGAAAGCCAATTTTGTGAGATACAACGATGCAGTCAGTTCAGAACCTAAATGCTACAAATTGTAAAAGAAAGCCTCCAACATATATACTTACTTTCAGTAGATTTGCGAACACTAACACAAAAACATGCTATAATGTACAGCCTTTTGAGCAGAGGTGAACTAGAAAACCAGCCTCGTGTGAGCAGCACGGTAAAATACGTCAATTTAATTGACACCGAACTAAACATTGTGGCCAACTGGGTCAAAAGATATTTCAAATTCTCAAAATAATCTCACCAAAACGACAGTGTGTGAAATTCACCATTTTTTGAATGAGGTCTGGCGTGGCTTACCGTGACCTCAGTGCTGGTGTTTAAAATGAAGTTTCACCATAAAACGTTTCCTTGAACTAAACTCTTGTTTCACGAGTATTTTCCCAGCGATTAGAAAAAGACTAGACCACAGCTATTAAATCTTTTATTTATTTAATCAAGTAGTAAAGGTCCTCACAGACGTCCTGGCTTACCTTTAGCACGCAGTCATGTTGAAGGAGACACGCCTTAAAGTCCTCTCTGACGCCTGCGCATGCTCTGATATCCTCCTCTTTGTCTTCGTAATATTTCGGCATCGTTCAGAATTCACCTCAACACCAAATTATCTTGGAAGGTTATCTCAAACTTGCTAGAATCGGTTGGTAAACAGCGCTGGTGTTATGGAAAGCCATCAGCCATGATTATGAAATGGCATGATGGGAAACCGGAAGTATACGTGCATGCTGGGAGCGTTTGTAGTTTCCTCCTAGAAAAAATGTAGGCGAGTTTTCTGGTGATATATGAATATTTTCGGGATGTCAAATCAAAACTAAATTGGAATAAAACCTTAAAATGTATGAGATGCAAGTAAAATAAAATCACAACACAAAATGAGTGTAAATTCCACCATTTTTTCAAATTTATTTTAAATCCGATCATGAAAAATGATCGCCGGTTCACGCCCCGGCCCCGACAACATCAAAATTGTGGGTGGGGTAGGTGAAACACCCACACTTGCCCCCACCCTCATTCGCCCCACTCTGGGCCCATGAGCAAGGCCCTTAACCCCCACCATGTGCTCCCTAAACAGGTCTCTCTTGAAAATGAGTTCTCGTGGCTCAATGAGACTAACCTGGATAAATAAAGGCTAAATGAAAAAAAAAAAAAAAAAAAAATGATGCAAAAATCCATCAGAATCAGGCAAACGCATGAACACGATGAAGGCACATGAACTGATGGGGAATGGGAACTAATGAGTAAATGTATTTGTTATGCTGTTGTTAATAACCCGTTTGAATCACATGCATTCTTGTCCTTAAAAACATTCATTTTCCATTTTTATCTGGATGCAGGAAAAGGGGGTTGTCTTTTTAGTAGTAGTCAAAATAACAGCTTATATGATTTGCTCCTTTCTTCTCCAACATAAAAAAATGAAGAACCGGAGACTACAATGAGTACAGCTCAGACTGTAAAAAATACAGTCTCTTCTACAGTCTATAGTACAGCTTTAGAGCAGATTGATCAGCAATGAAGGAAAATATTTTGCCCAAACAACAACAACAACAAAGTGTTCAATAAATTACACAGAATAATTAAGCATGCTAAAAAAGCATGATAAGCAGGAATTGAGCAATTTTAGACCAATTCTACCAAAAGGCACTTCACTAACCCCTTCAAAACGCATGAAAACAGTTACTGTAAGCTTCACTGACAGTCTTCACTCAGATTATTGGCCACATACAACTAAATGCAAGTGGGAAAATAAGTGATTAAAAATAAGATAACGCTTCTTGTAGCATAAACATATCGTGTATATATATATGAACATTCAGTGGTGAACTGTAAAGATCAGTAGTCATAATGTTCTATACATTTAAAGAAACCAAAATGGACAAATGGCTGCAGAGGGTTCAAATGATTTTTTTCTGCTTGAAGATGGAAAGTGAGGTACCAAAGATGGCTGATGTGCTCTAAAAGTAAAAATGCAGTGCAAACATCGCCGTGTTAGATGAACTGTAAAACCAACTACTTTCAGTTAACATTACAAATTTTACTTGGCATCCAATATGTGAGCAGTTTCTCAAATATTAGTATATCCAGCAACATGTGGGCAAAAATCGAGTTGGAACAAATTTAAATTATATTTTGGGGCGGCTCTCAAGAGAATTGGATATAAGGCACTTTTTTTTTTTTTTCCCATTTCGACTCACATCCACAATGACTTTGACAACAGAACCTGTTAAAAACGTTTCTCTAGTTTAGTTTTTGTGCAGCAAAAATTATGTTTAAGTGAAAACCTTCCAAGTAGCTGTTAGCATGAACATAACTTTTACATAAGTATTAATTAAAACGTTTAAAAAGTACATAAAAACACAAAATGAACTACCATAAACATCTCTTAGAATAAAAATATATTTTACCTCTTGTACAAATTAAAGATTTATTTCAAATAAATTAAGTCATCCTTCATGGATCGTCAGTCATTGTTGTAATAATATATCCTTTTAACAATATATTTCTTCAAGAAAACGTTGCCAAGGCGATCTCTGATTGATTGACTATAAATAGACTCTGAGGCCCGTCTGACAAGAGGAAACAGCTCTGATGTCACGATACAAATTTTCTAGGTTGTAGTTACGACTCAACTGTTTTCAGGTCACATGTCGGGATGAATTTTTGTTTCAGGACCAGTAGAGTACTTGACTGAAAGTGAGGAAAACATATATTTGCTCGGGTCGTTGTTGATCTACAAAAACATGTTTGGATCTCCACCATTTCTGCTGAGAACAGACAACAACTGGCCATTAGTGACGACAACATTTTCGATCATCTCCGGGTTTGCTGAGGCGCCAGGGACAGTGCAATGCCCCAGCTTACCCGAGCGTGGCAGCATTGAGTCAAAGGAGAGGGATTTGGCAGCAACTACATCATCAGCCAGGTGGCTGGTTCTCTCCAGCCTCTTCCTCCAGGAATCTTCTGATAGTTTTCTAAGCTGCTGAACAGCACAGAGCTTTGAACAGTTGTCCTCACATCCTCAACTGTTAGCACAGTTCTAATAACATTCTCACAAACAGAAGAAATGCATAACGAGAAGGAAGTGATGGGAAAAGAAAGAGAAACTAAATAATGACAAGATAAAGAACATCAGGAAAAAAAGTGGACAGAGAGGGACAAGCTAGGACGAGCAACTCTCAGCTCTAATAGCTTCACCGCTGGTTGCCAGGTTCCAGAGACCCTGCTTAAGCAGTCACAGATTGTGGCCCCCCAGGGGCCCCGATTCATGGGTCTCCTCCAGAGAAGTCAGCCAGATATTCTCTTTATATGTATCTGCAAGGAGAGAAAAGAGCACAAGATGTCTCATTAGACAGAAACGAGGAGGAAGGAGGCATTTACAGCTAATTATATTTGTCACTCACTTCACTGAGGATGGCCCATACAGCAGAGTTTTTGAGCACTGAAAGACGAAGCGCCAAGACGGGGTTGAAGGACGGATCGACAGCTCCTTCTGCCACACCTTTTTCAAAATGACCTGAGTGTTTAAACAGGCACACAAACAAAAAATAAATATTTAAAAGGTGCACAGATTTATTTATTTTTACATAAACTATTGAACAAAAATCTGAAAAGACACCACAGTGTGTGTTATATGATGACGTCACATAAAGTCATGTAGCACCAGATTACTATCAGAAACACGTACCAATCCTGTAAAAGCGATCTTCGGTTCGCTTGTAGCCGTCTTTGTTCTGCAGTCCTTTTTCCTGATGTTCAAAGACAGAAAACATTGACATCAGAACAAAGTGTGAGGCACACTCTCACATTTGGATGATTTCTTTTGAACTAAACACCCAAACAGGTGCGAACAACAGTTTTTACACTGAAAGAGTGGACTGCAGTGTCAGAACAGATCAGTGCTGGCAGAGCCAGTGATTCTGTCATGATCCTGACAAAAATCAATACACTACGTCCAAAATGAAGCCACTCAGTGTAATCCAATACGAGCTTTTTGCACACCTCACCAGAGAAGGGTGACAGACCGTGTGTGTGTGTGTGCACATGTTTCAGGATGGAAGGAGGTTTCCTACCGAGACGGGCAGTATTTCCACTGTGGTGTTCTCGATCCTGTCTCCTGGGTGCTCCTGGTTACCGCTGCGGAACAAGAACCTGCCAAAACGAAGCATTAGTTTTAATACTTTCATCTGCGGATGAGCATTCTTGCACTTTTCCCAAATAGCTTCAATACTGTGACACACAGCCTACAGCCACAGATGTGTACATCCGTACACACTAGGTTTGACCATGCTCAGCTGATGAACCCGAATCTGGGAATGTAAAAACAAGTTTAAAAGCCAGTTGGATAAATTTGATTAAAGTTAAAAGCTTGGGTGTTGTTGATCTCAAGTCAAAGCTACAGTTTCACCAGTTACATAAATTCTGACGTTCCTGCTTTTTCATTCATCAAACACTCAAAACTCCCTGCAGTTCTCTAAGAAACCAAAGGAAGGACTTGAATGCACAAATCACAGACAGTATGGCAGGTGGCATGAATTAAAAAAAGGCAATTTCACTTTTATGAATATGAATCAATTTCATTCGAGTTAAAAAAAATATATAGGAAAAAGTGACAGTGGCTTTGCTGTGCTGATCTCAAACTAGACCAGAAAATGTATATCAGTTAAAACGAAACATAATCATCGCATTCGTACTTTGCCACTTCCCATCTATACGTCACAACCAGCAGATACGATAACCCTATTTCACTTAGTCTAAATATGAACAGAGACTTGAGGTTTGCCCTGCTTTCAGTCAGGTTTAACTTATATGTTGCAGTTTTTGTTCCTCTCTACCCCACTACAGAAAAGGAGCCTGAAAACCCTGGATTTAGAGCACTCTCATTAACGCGCCATGATCCTCAGAGACATGCACATTCTCACCAACACTAGACCTCAATCAGTGAAGGACATGAAGTTAAAATAAGTGAAAAGATTTAGGTTCTTGTGGAAAAACACTGGGCAGTGAACTATTTCAGTGTAAAGACAACATGTAAACATTTTATATCTACCTGTCTATGCTCACAGGTCTGTCGAATTTAAAGAGGATGTAGTCTCCAGCAGTGGGTGTGATGGCCCAGAAGAAATCTTCACCGAGGTACGTCTTCTCCAGCGTGTGACCCTGATACACCTGCAGGACAGAAGGCACAGATTTACTCCCGTATTTGTCATAACTTTGAACATTTAATTTTATTTGTTACACTGGATAACAATAATATGGATCAGCGTTACCTTCATCGAAGTGGAGACCTCTGCTGGGGGGTTGACATGTATCTTATGTAGCAGCGGCTTCAGGAAGTCCTTGTCCTGCAGCAACACACAGAGGAAACAGTGGTTTCTATGCAGGAAAGAGACACAACTGATTTTGAACATAAACAACGGCCAAAGAGTGAGACTCACGGTGAGTTTCTGAATCTTTCCAGCAAGAGAAGAATGGAGTCCGACATGTTGAAACAGCGAGGGTCTGAACCGCACACGGAGGCTGGATTTCTGACGCTCGCAGTGTTTCTGGGGGCGGGGCGGGGGGGCGGGGGATAGCAGACAGAAAATAATAAGACTCATTCTGTTAACAATAAAAATATCTGTACAGTAATTCCCGTACATACCGCGTCTTTCTCAGGGTTGCAGACTTTGACCCACAGAATATGATCCAGCAGCCAGTCAATAGGCTTCTCTTTGTAGAACATGAAAATAAACTCAACAATGAGGTTTAGGTCGGGAGCCTGAAACATTTTTCCTGTAAGGGAAGAAAAATAATTTATAAATTAGGGATGCACGATATTGGATTTTTGGTCAATATCTGATATTATCCAATATGTTAAAATTTATTTGGCCGATAACCGATACCGATATTTTTCCCCTAGACTTACTTACAAAGACTACACAGCTTTCTCTGCTGTGGAATTAAAATACTACATTATTCTGCATGGTCTTTGTCAGTTTTGCTACCAAATGCAGATCAGAATCAAAAACTTTATTATCATCGTACCGAAATACAGTAAAATTATGTTCATACAGTCATCCAAAAGACAGACGGAGTGCATGTTGATGCTGCTACTGGAGCGCGGCCTCTTATTCTTTTTCAGAATACTTTTTAGATAGAAAAAGTGCCAAGATGCCAAAAAGGGGACTGAAAATGATGTAACACTTCAACTTGGATTATGTTTAATGTTAAATTTATTCATGACATTTACTCTCTCTAACACAACGACAACAATCGAACGGTGTAAATTTGTAAATTGTCACAAATCTAAACTCAATGGCACGCGTGATGTCATAACGATGTGCTGGTGCTGCAGGCATCCTTCTCACTGGGTTGTCATACAAAAACAGCACCTTTTATATTGGTGAGTTATTTTGATGGAATGGCCGATGTCCGATATTTAATCGCTAATATCGGACGATATTATTACAGCAACTCATTAAAAAGGACATTTTACAACCCAGGAAATAAAACAATAAATAATACAATTAATTCAAGCTATAAAGTTTTGTTTTGGGTAGAAGGAAGATCTGAGCGTTTACATTTCAAGATTTCTCCAGCTGAAATACTTGTTTTTAGTTGTGACAAAATCCTTTATAATGACATTTAGTAGCTTGCTACATTGTTAGAAATAACACAATGTCTATTTGTCAAATGCAGCCTGTGTAGTTGCACCGAGCAGGTATGTGCTTTAATATTGTGAAGACAAAGTAAATGATTTAGAATAGAAGCCAAAAATTTAAAAAGCGTAATTTTTAATTTTGCACCTAAAATTTCTTCACAAGTGACAAAAATATCAGTTTTAGTTGGCAGAGATTCGTGTACGCTGAATGAAGACCCTCTCTTCTGTCATTTCCATATTGTTCAATATAATTTACATTTTCCTCTACACTGACTGCTCTGCGTACATCAACAATCATGTGTTTTAGGTGCAACAAGTATTTAAGAACATGCAGAATAAAGCTGAATTTAACATTTACTTACAATTTTTCTGGTAGTGTTTGCGATCTGCTGACTGTTTAGTACGACGGAGCTTTAGGGCCACGCTAAGAATCTTTTTTTTATTAAAAGCCATAAAATTATGAGAATAAAGTTGAATAAAGTCTTAATATTATGAGAATAAAGTAGTACAAGCCTTTTTTTCCCCCTATTTATTTATTTTTTCCATGAGTCGGATCCATGTCCCGTCAGTCAATCCAGTAGACGTGTCAGCAAATGAGCAATCCAAAGCTAAATGAGTCATAATATTATCTGAACTCAAAACGATAAAGCAGGTTTACTGCATTTTAACAGTGGTAAAATGAAGAATGTTGAGCATCTTGTTAAGTTATCCTTTGGTGTTGGTTTTATAAATAAGGAGATAGTTAATCTGTCAGCACATCAGCATCAGATTATAATCAGCATCAGGATTTTGAACCTGCTTACAGTAAGGTGGTACGCTCTGATGGGCTGCAGCAGCTCTCTGCAGGTAAGGAGCATTTAGCTTCGGATTGGTCATTTGCTGACATGCCTACTGCATTGATTGACAGGTCACGTCGTGGATCAGACTCATGGAAAAATTAAATAAACAAGAGCTACAAAAAAAAAAAAAAGAAAAAGTTTCGTACGACTTTATTCTCGTAACTTTATGGCTTTTAATTTATTTATTTTTTAGCGTGGCCCTAAAGCTCTGTCGTAGTTTAGATCTTGCTTTTGTTTGGTAAATATTCAAGGTTTGTACCAATGAAGCCAAGCTGTGAAAACTCCAGGATCATCCAGTCTTCTGATGAGAGCTGCAGGGCAAAGTTCTTCATGGTGGCAAAGTAGTTGGGTTTGGCCACAATGTCATCCTCCAGCTACAGGAGAAGGAACAGATTAACCAAATTAGAAGGAAAAAAAACGTCATGTACTTGTAGTTCTTGTTGATGAAGGGGAACTGCAGGGATAAACTCCTCTACGATCACGCAGGACGTTCTCCGAGCTGACCTAATAAACACTAACCTAGAACAGCAGCTGACACTAAGCACTAAAACATTTTTGCTCATAACACACCTCTTCCCTCCTCATGAGAGCAGATAATAGAAATGACAAGTTCAATGAACAGTACATATAAAGGAATCATTAACACAGTAAACAGTAAAGTGTGAATAACTGTTAGCACTTTAGATTACAAGCTTTGGTTAATAAAAACAACAAAGGAGATGAAGAAGGATCACTAATAAAATAAACCGCTGCAGACTGCAAATGGAACAACTATTTTAACAAATAAGCACAGCAACAGTGTCGTGTACTTGCTATAAATGATGCAGCGAACTGAAATAACTTAAATAATGAAAGGATTTAAAGTCAACAACACCTAAGATCAAGTTATAATGGAAACTAGGTGTTTAACAACATGCTCATTTATTTTGTTCGGGACAAGACTTTAATGTAGCTGTCAGTACGGTGCACTCTCCGATTCATTTTAGCTATAGCAAGACTACAGCTAGCTTTTAAAACTGTGCAGAGACGGTCTAATTTTCTAAATTTCTTCCAGGTTACACATATTTGATCTGACTGTGGGTAAGGAAGTCCAGTAGCTCACAAAAATGACCTTCAGAAAAAAGTGTGTACAAGTTTTAGTAACGATCTAACAAGGTCAAGTCAGGTCATCTGGACAGAAGAAGAATCCGTCCAGATGACCTGACTTGACCTTAGATTTTTCTACCTGGATTATTGAGCATGCATCAGGACTTTTAGCAACAATGTTAATTATAAATAAGTCCATTTTAAAAGGTTTATTGCATCATTCTTAACTGGCAAAAACGAAAAATATTTAGCCATGAAGAATATTAGGAGTTAAAAGACATCTTTTACAGCACATAAGTGCCCTTTTGATTTTTTTATTCTAAATCTTGAATTATTAAATGATATAAAAATATATTTCAATTGTCTTCATAAACTTTTTTTTATTGGATACAGTTCAAAGGTTTGATTTTGTTTAAACTTTATTACTTGTTTGATTTAAGACTGTAAAGTGACAGTTGTAAAATTGGTCATTAAAAACGTTGAAATCTTTTTACAACTAAGGTTCATTTGTGAAATGTTTACAGTTTTAAAACTCTTACACTCTTAAAGGAGCATTAGTGTAGGGAAATAAAAATTAGGCTTTTAAGCTGAATGACATACCTGGACGTAATAAACCCCCTTGCTCACAGCGTACATCATGAGAAAGGAATAATCCAGATTCTGCTTCGTTCGCCATCTGAACAAAAAATGAATTCATGAACACAAAATTTACGCGCCTGAATCCTGAATCCATCTGGATGAAATATAAAGATATTACATCTGTGGAATACCCAACAGACAGACTGCTTTACATGCAAAAACAAAACTGGACCCACAGGTATGTACATGAAGCTGCACCGGCAGGTTTGGCCTGAATAATTTATAACCCACAGCTGTCACATTAATTGTTTGATCCAAATGATGTAGCAGTCTCACTGAAGGCTTGTTCACAGATGACTGCAGGTGCTGCTGTGTGGGAGCTGGCACAGAGGTATTTCTGACTACACGTGCTTCGTCACGTACGCAAACGCACATACTTCTAACACACCGTTAAAGGCGCAGTAATTAAACGGACGTTTGAATCCTACTTTACTGAGACACAGCCGGGTGATTAGCAAAAATCCTCACAAGTCTTTTTGTTCCGTTTCATTTGATGTGAACACATTTGTATATGACAGCCATGTTGAACGAGACACCAAATGGTCAGGTTTGTGTTAGAAACATATAAGCTCCCAAACACCCACAACTAAACAGAGCAGCCCTCCTGAAGGCTATTATCTGAGCACGCACTGTAAAAGCCTCCACCGTGCCATAAATAGATTTCTAATGAACTATAAAGAGAAGATAAGCTGAGAGGATCAGATGAGCATAAAATCGGCAATGGAGAGTGCTGCTGCTGATGACCTTGATCTGACTTTGACAAATGCCTGTGGAATACTAAATGCCCAGTCAACCCACCTAAAAGCTCTTGCATGCTTCTCTGTCCTTGCTTCCTTACATTCCCCTGTCCCACTGACTCATCCTTCTAGTTTTTTCTGCAGTGCTCATTGCATCTCTAGAACATCATGCCGCCACAGTTTAATCAAACTATTTTGTTTTTTTACCTGACTCTTTCTTTGGAGTCTCCAAAAGTCTCTTTGAGGTTGGTTAGATCAGGGTAAAAAGCAGCAGGTGGAGAGATTACCTCCAACAATCCGGAGTTCAACTCAGTGGAAAACCTAAGAAGTTAAACAAAAATGAGACATGGGTTCAAATGACAAGTTTGCTGAGCTTTAATGTGTCTTTTGAGAAGTAAAGAGTAAACCTACCCTTTCTCCAGGTCCGCAACCACACTGTGAACATAGTCCAGGTCAGTCTGCAGAGGTTGTGCCAGAGGAGATTTTAGGCCCGTGCAACACGTTTTTATTTCTGTATGCATGTATTTATTCTAAAGAACAAGCACCATGCTACAACTTGTATTTAAAGTCTCACCTCCCCAACAAACACAATGATGACACAGTCAAGTTTTTCCTCTGGTGAGAGCTTGTCTATTAGCGAACGCAGCGTCTCTGACAGATAGGACTTCACCTTCCGCTTCACTGTGGGGATCCCCATCACCATGGTAACTGAGGACGAGACACAGCCAATGTGTGGTGAGAAACGGGAAGGGTACAAAGGGATGGCAGTTTAATTATAAAAAGATGGGCCCAAAAATAAATAATCTTGCTGCGAGTCAACAAAAGATTATGTTGGCGAAAATCCGCAAGAACAGAAATTTGTGTACCGACAGATGGCAGTGGGCAGGATGAGTTTGTTATGTATCTGCACAACCACAATTTGTGTTGATTTAAAAAAGCTTCTCTTTTTACAATAATTACATCATTATTACATAACTTAAGTCAAAATGTACACTGCCTAATTTAACTTAAAGGAATCACAAGACTAAAGTAAAAAAAAAAGTCATATAAAATTTAAAAAAAACAGCACGTCACCAAATGAATTGGATAAATTTGAGAAATCCTATTTTATTAATATTGTAGGAAATTCAGTGGTTTCCAGCTGATAGCATTTACACAAAGACAGATAAAAACAAACATCAATGGGACACTATAAAATATATAAAGGAGGTGCAAAACACCTTAAAATATCAATAACAATTCTAAAAACCTCAAAGCCCATTAATTATTGTACACAAAAGATTTAAAATTCAATAAATAAACAGACAATTTAACACCTCCAGCACAATATTGCTGGACACCAGAGACCCCTGCGACCCAAAAAAGAAAGAAGCAGTTAAAAATTAATGGATGGATGAAATTTAAAAAAAAAAAGTAAAGTGCATTTGTAAATCACACTCTTAGTATTATGAAGATATTTCTATAAAAAGTATATCTGTTCCTGTGGCTCAATGGTTAGAGCAGTTGCTCATCGTCAAGAGTTGGCAATATGTAGTCACATGGTGGAGTGTCTCTGGACAAGACCCTAAACTGAATCAAACCCCTTTGGTGTAACGTGATCTAAAGCACTGATAGACTAATAATTATCTGATAATTTATTTAGATTAGCTTTGAAGAGATGTGACATATGAATGTGTGTGAATGGGTAAATAAGGGCACTGATTGGGTTGTAAAGTGCTTTGAGTTGCCTTGTTGGCTAAAAAGACATTATATACGGTAAGTACGGTACATTTATCAGTATGCAAAATGTATCCGAGTCGCTTCAACGCCCTGAGCCTAATATTAAGCTAGTCAAAGTCCACCTCTGCCAAATAGAGTCTCTGGTCAATTGTGACAAGTGAGGGAGGTGGGATGGGTAAACCTGCACCTGTAACCAGTTAGCTGAATGATCCATCCATTTCACCTGTGCTCAAGGTTGTACAACAGAAAACAGCAGCAGTCACATAAGCTAGGCTCACTACAAGATTCAAGAGATCTCTTTTGAAGACAAAAAACAAAACGTAAAAAAAAAGTTTACTGGGCAACAAAAACAATGCTGTAACTGCATAATGAAATGTGAAAGGGCACCTTAAGGCCAAATGATGCCTCTTTTTCTGCATATTTTCTAGAAGAATAAAAAACTGGAAAGGTAAAAAAATACAGGTGCTGCACCAGAGTCAAGTGACCATCAACCACCTTTACACCAAACAACACTCTCTTTATATCCCTCTGAGAAGCTTGGAAATTAACCAAACAAAAGCAACTTATTTGCTGAGGCTAAAATGATAAGACTGCATGAAGTTGTGGTTGACAAAAACGCTTCACAAATTATTGCATGTGATCTCAAAGTATTTCTTTATGTGGCCATTTACAATTGAAGCTCTGGTTTACAAACTCACATTACAGCTCACCTTAGTCTTAGTAAGCTGAAAAGTTAGCTGATACTGCATCTATTTTTCTGGTGTTCTTAGAAAAGGAAATTTGGTAAACAACAGCATGCAAATGGCAAACAGTTTTTGTTTTCCATTTTAAAGATAATCTCTTCATTGTCTTCATAACTACCTTTCAGTTCCTGGAATCAAGTCTTGTAGGACAGTTTGCATGGGTTTTGCATAAACAAGCCTATGCATTTTTTTTGTGAAAAGGTAAATGAGGTAAAGTGCTGTTAGGCATTTTAAGAAACTTGCAATGACTGTACATGTTACACAAACAGTACTGTGCAAAAGCTTGTACAACACATATTCATATATTGTAAAAATATTTGGTGTGTGCACACTTTGCATTCAAAACAGCAACAGTTCTTATAGAAGGACTTGCACAAAGTTAAGGATTTTGTAGGATTATAGTCAGGGGTATGATTCACTAGTTTTACCCAACAGGTGCTAATGATCAGTCCATGTGCAGGTTGAAACATAACTAATAACAGGAACATTAATAACTGTGTATATATAAGGCTTTAAACTGGGCAAGAAATGGCAAAACTCTGCTACTAAGGGGTGGTTGTAAACTTTGTTATTACTGGAATTTTTATGTAATTAAATAAATTAGAATAAACTGTGTCTTTGTGACAAACTGCTCATAATTGTGTCTAGTGAACCAATTGAAAATTACACACACATACACATTACATATATATAAATAAACACACACAGTACAGGCGCTGTACAGGTCTGTTGTGGTGAAAAGAGAGCTGAGTCAAAAGGCGAAGCTCTCAATTTACCAATCGATCTACGTTCCCACCTTCATCTATGGTCATGAGCTTTGGGTTGTGACCGAAAGAATGAGATCTCGGATACAAGCGGCCGAAATGAGTTTTCTCCGCAGGGTGTCTGGGCTCTCCCTTAGAGATAGGGTGAGAAGCTCGATCATCTGGGAGGGACTCAGTGTAGAGCCGCTGCTTCTCCACGTTGAGAGGAGCCAGTTGAGGTGGCTCGGGCATCTGTTTAGGATGCCTCCTGGACACCTCCCTGGTGAGGTGTTCCGGACATGTCCCACCGGAAGGAGGCCCAGAGGAAGACCCAGGACACGCTGGAGGGACTATGTTTCTCGGTTAGCCTGGGAACGCCTCGGGATTCCTCCGGAAGAGCTGGCCCAAGTGGCTGGGGAGAGGGAAGTCTGGGCCTCCCTACTTAGGCTGCTACCCCCGCGACCCGACCCCAGATAAGTGGAAGAAAATGGATGGATGGATGGACACACATACAGTAGTCCCTCGCTACTTTGCAGTTCAACTTTTGCGGACTCTCTCTTTTGTGTTTTTTCAAAGATTATTAACTTTAATATTCCTCACATGATTGGGATGGTACAAGATAAAAGTTAACAAAAAAAAAACTTTGGACAGGCGCTGCCTTTTGTAGTTTTCTTTCATTAAGCCTATACTGTGAGGCAAGTCAAAAAAACTACACTACCCAGTGCTTCTGGCTGCTGATTTCTGCCGAAATGGAGGGAAAAGTTTTGCAACACAAAATCAAAAATAACAATCACAGAAGCTCACAGAACTGGCAGGAAAGTCACAAATAATCCTGAATCTTCCTGAAACACAATTATCCATGCACATCTCAACCTGGACGGGGCGGTGGGCTTCGTCACTGCAAGGTAGGTCTGCTGAACCAGAACTGAGCTGCTGTTCTGCAGAGCTGGTGAGTAAAATTTTGCAGTACTGGACAGTACATATATGTATGTTGTTAAAATTACATAGCTTTAAGAGTTTAGAACATTGCAAGAGTGTGGGAAGGGTTTATAAAGCCTTAATATATAAATACTAAAATAAATATAACACTCCTACTTCACAGTTTTTCACCTATTGTGGTGGTGTGTGGAACGTAACCCCCGCGATAATTGAAGGACTATTGGGGTGTGTGTATATAT